TAAAAATAAAACATCCAAAGTTGATCAGTTAACAGGATTGGAATATGTTAGCTCTATTGTTGACTGGTGAACATTTCTTTTGAAAGCTAATGAAGATTTTATCTTTAGTAATGTCTAGTAATTTCCTAGTGTTTTGTTTTATATTTTTGTGTTTGTGCTGTCATACGCTGCCTGGAATTATATAAAAAATTAGGGAAGGTTGGAGGCAAGAGGGGAGTAAACTATTAAATGCCCCATGCATTTAACTGTCTGGATTGGAGGGGATGCCATCATTGCTATATTTGATGAAGTTTTCATCAAGATTTGAACACTGACAAGCCACCAAATGCATAGTGCGTCAAAATAGCAGGTCATTATGAGATCAACATTCTACAGCCTTGTGACTCAGCCCCTGGTCCTGCAAATGTTTGAATTGGTGAGAATAGCATAGAAGAATTCAGTTGAAGCCTTCTCATGAATATGAATATGAATATGATGTGAAATTAGGGCTAACACAGTAGGAAGTTGTTTATGTCAGATCAAATGATCAGCCAGTGGCTCTTTCCTCCACCTCTAGGGACCAATGGCCACAGATAAAGAAAACACGCGAAGAGCGGGACAACTCTAAAGATTCAGAATATTGGGATGCATTGGCTCATGTTATCCCAGATGGAAAACTAAAGCTGTGGGATGCTCTGATTGTTGCCTTGCAAAAATACTAGTAAGTGATGGAATCTGCACATCTATGCCCCTAACGATAGTAGGGCAACCTCTGCAAATATAAGGAGTGGACTGGACACATTTGAACTAAACAATCTGTGCCAAAGTGTGAGAGACTTGTGGTGAGAGTAGTTTCTTGAGGTGAGGTAGCAGAAGACTTATTTCTTCAGTTTCAATGAACATTAATCAAATCCTAGTTCCATCCCAGTCGTACCACTGGTTTTTTTTAAGGCAAATTTATGGAAAGATGAACAGAAAATACTGGCTTTCTCCTCTTTACTTGTTTAGTTTATCAGGAAATGGATCTTCTGTTGCCCAGTTTTAATGGGTTCATCTCTCTATGACAGGGAAAAGCTGTATGTTTTTTTATTGAGGACACATAACTGTCCCCATATTGCATACTCCACCTCTAGGCTATTGAGTTTGACTGATAATGTTCCAATAGTATTGGAATAATGGGGCAAAATAAAAATCCAGAGTGTGTGAGGAGGCACTCTTCTCACTCAAGGCACTCTTGAGTTTTTTACCCTTCTCATCTTCCCCAAAGAGAAAAAAATAAGACTTTCTTTTTCTTTTTTAAAGATATATAGGAGCCTTAACCTTCCTCAATACCGGAGGCACCCATTTTGCCATAGTGCTTCACTAGCAATGTTTGGTCATATCTACTCTGAGATGCTCTGGAAATTATTTGTGGGCTGAGGAAGGGGTGTAGGAGATCCATGTGGTTCACAGGTTGCCCATTCAAAAGTCTGCAGTCAACAACACTGTTGTCCATACTGTTTTGAAGGACTCCTCTCTTTTTTCCACCTGTCTAGTCATTTTCTGACTCTGAGGGCAAAGCTGATTGAAGAGACTGATGGGCTAACTCAGCAGAATGAAGAACTTCAGATACTACTACAGCAATATTTACAATCCCCAGTAAGTAAATGGGTAGAAACATAGAATCATAAAATTGTGGAGCTGTAAGGGGAGCATATAATTCAATTCTCTGCAAGATGCAGGAAAACTAATTTAATCCTATGTATGAGTTGTCCATCTGGCCTCTACATAAGATTTTGTAGAGATGTAGAACCTGCAGCCTTCATAATTAGACTGTCCTATTTTTAAATACATCATTTTTAACAACAAAGAATACTATATGGAATCTTGTCAAAAGCTTTGTTGGTATATTGTTAAAGAAGGAGAAAATATTTCTCTCTAAATATTTATTTATGATAAACCCATGTAGACTCTTGACAACCATTGCACTGTTTTCAAGGTGCTTACATAAGTACCTGTAACTGTACAGGTACAGTTATGTACCTGTAACTAGGCCAGAAAAACCCTGTAGGATCTATCCAGCATCTTGTTTGCAAAAACTTTCTCACGCTGAATTTAAGTTATACTGATCTATGCTTATTTGGTAATGTTTGTCATTTTACCTGCCATAAAATATTCTCCAGAATAATTTTCAGACAAAGCATTTTTAAAAATGCAGTGATTTTTTGAAAATATACAAGCTGCATCAGCAGCAAAACCGCGACAGTATTTTCTAAAATTTCTGAAAATGCTTAGGAATAAATCAAATTCAAATCAGTATAAAAATCTTTCCTCAAAATAAAATTTGTAGAAGAGGATGGAAGGCTTCTGTCCTTTTTTTGTCCTAGTTTATATAGCTGCAAGTCTGCATAGACATCAGCCTTCATGGTCTTCATGTTTTATTATCTTGGATTCAGTGATGTTAACTTTACTTGCTTAGCATATTAAGTTAGCTATAATACATAGTATGTTGTTATTTTACTATCTCCTTCCTATTATGGACTGTTATTTAATCTAAGTATTACATTTTCTATGTTGTCCAAACCCTACATTGTAGCTGATGTGAGAGGCATTGGGGAGGCTAAGACAATTATTAGGTATAGTAAGATAGGAGAGTCTATTAACAGTTTCCCTCATAAACGTGTCCAGATTGTAAAAAACCTGGAAGGAATTTTCAAAATGTTTTGATACTGCACCTTAAGGAATTCACTAATGAATGAGGGCTATAACTGTCTTTTGCAGTTTGCAAGATTCCGTATTTGCTCATTATCCTTAAAGATACTTTACTGATATCTTCAATTCTTGCTTCCATTATGTTGCCCAGCTTTTAGGGGATTTGACAGCTATATGGTGATAAGTGTGAAAACTAGTAAGCATAAGACTGCGTGAAGAATCAATGTAATGTGGATTAAGATAGAAGTGAATCTGTGTTTCTTCACCAGACTGTTGTTTCGTTTAGTGTCTCATGGGAATGCATTTACACCCATGGTTGAATGTATGAGAGTTATAATTGAATATATAGCAAGGAGGTAAAATTTGAGCAACTGGTAGACACAAAGCAGTTCCAAAAGCTGAAAGCCCATCCTGTTCCTCCTACCTCAATATTAGCAAGATTGTGGTACCAGTCAGTGGTGCCCACTGGAAGAAGACCAGGCAACCAGTTATTTCTTCATGAAGTTATTTGGTCAGTATAACGAATCTGCTGCCACACAATATCAAGATGACTATTGGCTAAAGTAGTTTTCTAACTCATGGGAAACAATCTATCAGAGGCCTGAGCTATTTTGAACCATGTTTAGAGATAGTATGTTGCCAAATACAATTTTAAGGGAGTGGATTTAGAAAAAGAAGATGGTTGTCCTCATTATCTTTCTTGTGGTATACCCACAGACAGCTAGCAATAAAAGAGGACGCTGAACTAAGTCTATTTTTGGCTTATTTCATACAGACTTCTATGCTTTTGTAGGCTTTAGTAAAAAAAAAAAAGAGAGAGAGAAAAGAGAGACAGCCATAGACTCTATAATAATTCTGAATGGACTTTATTTAATCTAATCTATAGATCCTGGGAACCAGTGCTAATTCTTAATAAAATTTATGTACCTTTAGATGGGGTACTTTTAAGCATTTTGAAATTGAGCTGGATACAAGGGAGCCTTAATCTGTTTGCTTCTGTTTGTTACAGGCCAATGCTGCGTTGCTCATCCCACCTACCCACCTACTGCATCTGCAGATGAATAACCCATGATAATCTTCCGTGCAAGAGGGGTGGGTTGGTTATTTCTCCAGTATTAGTACTTGCCTGGATCATTACAACTAGTCAGATAAATTCCACTTATGTCCCCAAGAGGCAAGAGTGGGCATTAACAATTTCAGCATGTAAGCCCCTCAGTTGTTTTGAGGTGGTTGTTTGAAAACCCATAGGTTAGTTATCCCTGAGTTAAACTGAGACACACAGCTGTTTTCTAGCATGATGGCAGCACAAATGTATATTGAGAGTAACTAAAACTAAGTTAAAACTAAAACTAAGGCACATTAAATCTACTTTGCAAATATTCTGATACATGCCCAAACCACAACTCAATGTAATTTGACGAAGCCCATATTGACATATTTCAGAAAAGAGGAAAACTTTATCTTTCATAAAATTTTAAGACTTATCTAAACAAGATATCTTTTTGACTCTAAACACGTATTTTTTGGGTGAAAAAACATTTCAAAAGAATTAAAAGTCAAATGACAAATAAATATTTAATTACACCACCATTTCTTCTGACTCATCCTTGTTACCTAAGGAGACATGATGAGGCTGGGGTGGAGTGTCTGTAATCGGATGGTATCACGAGCCTCCGAAGACTTGCAATTGCAGCTTTTGTCATTCTGAAATATTTGAAATATAATCCCTAAGAAACACTGAATATGAATTTGAATAGAAGTTTGACGGGAAAAAAAAGAAGTCACAAAGGTACACTGTATTGTAGGACTGAGACTGTATTTCCCTTGCATTAAGCCATGTAGTTAGAGATGCTTCGTTCCACCATGATCATCAGTGTGTGGAAAATGTGTTGTCATAATCCAGTACTTTACAGCCTATAAATAATAGCAATGTGCAGACATGTGGCAGATTTCAAGAAAGACTATTAAAACACTAAGAAGAAGACCCAGTGCCTGGAAATCATATTATAAGAGAGCACAGAATGTGCTTACAAGGCAAAGATGTTCTTGGAAAGAAACTCAACTGAGCATTTCCAGCACATTCTAGTTCACATAAAGAAGAGAGAGTGCTATTGTTTTCCTAAAGATGGGCTGCCATCTTTAGAAGCTTGGAAGTACATTTTAAGGCTATCATGACCAGGATCACAAGATATTGTAAAAGAAAAGTGGGATCCTTAATTGAGGACTGCTTTTCTGATGCAGAATGTAGATATAGTTTTCTATCTTGACGAACATGGTGGTTTTCCCTAGCTTCTTCCCTATGTAGTTATTACGCACAGGAGTCTGTTGCGTTCAGTGATTCATTTTTATTAAAGAATGTACAGATTTTCTCTTGATCCAGAGATACTATATTAACAGTGCACAGAAAAATACCCCTACCAATATCAGACCCCACCCCACAACTGTAAGGAAATAAAAGCAATAGTTTTCACACAACCCAGGAAATAATAAGCATGAAATACAGGAACTTCACTTTGTGCTACGCTGTGAAAGAGAACAGCAAAAAGGCAGTGCAATTGTGCTATTTATTTTTTTCTAGAAATCTGATCAGTTAAAGCTTAGGACATCACATCTCTTTCCAACTTGTAAGTTATCTTTGCCTCCTGAAGAGGCAGATTTTTTGCTTCTGTTAGCTATTGCAGGTCCCTTATGACAAGGTTCCCAAACCTTTGGGCCATGGATCAGTACCGGTCTCTGTCCTGTTAGGAATCAGATCGCAAAGCTGGAGGTGAGCGGTGACTGAAACCGAAATCATCCCTCTCCCTCTGGTCTGTGGAAAAATTGTCTTCCACAAAACAAGTCCATGGTGCCAAAAAGGTTGGGGACTGTTGCCTTATGATACTATAGCATGGTAGACTTGCTTATCGAGCACATGTTTGGGAGAGGTATCTGACTCATAACTTAAGTCTAACAGAAACAATTATTATCATTAGAAACTAGAAGGAGTTGCAGCCACCTCCTTGCATGCTTCTGCAACTGGCTTGCAAGAAAATGTGTTAGTGATCTAAAGTCCACATCCACACTTGACATACACACTATGTCTTCTAGGTACCAGAAGACCGGCAGGCATGGGGGGTGGCAGTGGCAGGGTAGCATGTGATAAAACATGTGTTGTGACATCACAGCTTGCACCCTCCAGTGCATGATGCAAGTACAATGTGACAAAATTTGTACGTCACTCACAACACACAATTCAGCATTTTGGTGCCATAATGATTAGGAACAGATACCAAATCTAGCAGGGATAGTAGGTTAAGGAACAGGTAGAATGAGAATAAGATGAACAGCATCTTAATGTATTCATTTTAAAGAGATGATGCTTATGAGCACTGGACTGTTGAATTAAGAAAGACACTCTTAAACGGTCCTCTCTGTTGGAGAGGACTGAATGTGTATGGGAGGATAGATTGAACTAAATATGTATGGGCTTTGAAGAGATAACCCAGTTTTGTGAAATGATTATAATATGAACTGGCCAGAGGTGGGATTCACTTACCTTCCCTACCGGTTCACAAATGTGAGCTCTTTGCCTCCAAAACATGGCTAAATAGAACGGCATTACGTTTGTGTGGGTGGGCGGGGCCTACTGGTTCACCTGAATCAGACAGAACTGGCTGAATCCCACCACTGGAACTGGCCGTGTTAGCTGTCCTTCAGTATCATTTGGCATTGCCTACATTCCCACAGCATAATCTGAGTTTAACAGTCTGGATATTTCACTCCCCTCTTTCCTGCTCTCATCCGGTGTTAGAGGGTTTCACCGGCAGATTCATACTTCAAAATGATATAATTTCCCATTAAAATAGGATATAACATTATAATGTGTTCCCCAACCCTACCACACTTCTTATTCTGGAGGTTACTTGTCTCAGCAACTGATTCTACTTCCTGCTCAATCACATACCATAAAAAGCAGCTGTTTACCAGCTTTATACCTGATAATTAAAAGTTCAAAAGAACGTCTTGGCCCTCTATGAAACATTGCCTTTCCACAATGTTCTTCAAAGCTTGACTTGCCAGTTTTTCCAACTGGAAAATATCAAAAACCCTGTCTAAGGATCACAACCAATCCCATTATAGTGGTCATCTTTAAAAATAAAAATTCTTTCATTTCCCAGTTGCATTAATGGAGCATAATTGTGTACACAGGTGCATATCCAAGCAACATTTCTGTAATGATTCCAGGATGCTTTTCAAGCATTGAATGTTTCAAGATTGAGCAAGAACTGCCTGTTCTTTTATTTAATAATTAGGTTTTGAAGTGTGTCAATTTTAGTTTATTTGGGTATAACGTGCACCTCACAACAAATTGTAAAGAAGGAACTAAAATGAGGAAAATAATAATTTGCCTATAAACTGAACCCATAGCTTGGGGCCATTGCAGTTCACACCAGAGGGGGGTTTCAGCAGGTTCTGACCAGTTCTGGAGAACCGGTAGCGGAAATTTTGAGTAGTTCAGAGAACCGGTAAATACCACCTCTGACTGGCCCCATCTAGTCTCTGCCTCCCAAGTCTCAGTTTATGGGAGGAAATGGGGATTTTACAGTATCCTTCCCCTGGAGTGGGGAGGGAATGGAGATGTTACAGTATCCTTCCCCTGCTACTCCCACCAAGCCACGCCCACCAAGCCATGCCCACAGAACCGGTAGTAAAAAAATTTGAATTCCACCAGTGGTTCACACTCTTGCCACCACATTACACACTCCGACAAAACAAAATGCTTATTTTCTTTCGTTGTCCGAAGCTAGGAGGCTGCTAGCTGTTTTCATGCAAAACCTTGGAAGGGCAAGCCTTCCTTCTTTCCATTGCAATAAAATGTCACATGGTCAAGGGAGCAGGGGGCAATTTCTTTTCATAGTAAGGGGAAACTGCAGCATCAGATTCCAAGAAAATATGCCAAGATTTCTTAAGTAGCTGATCACTCCAAATATAATATGAACAGGAATCCTTTGAAATTTCAGCTTTTGGGGGAGACATACTTTTGTGATATCAACAAAGGAAGAAAACAATAAAAAACAGAAAAGAAGGGAGATTTTGGATAAATGCAATCCACACAAAATGGAATCCTGGTCGTCAAGGTAATTCCACTTAAGATTAATTCATTCATGGAGGACACTGAAATTGAGGTAACAACAATTAAATGTGGGAGGGGAGGCATTAAGTTGTTGAAGAGACTGAAGGACATTGCTGAAAAGAGAACTTACAGTGAACCTTGGGAGGGAGACATTCTTCCTTTTTCAAGTCACAAAGCAACAATAAAGCAATTCTGGATCTGATTCCTGCTTTCAAAATCCAAAATCCCAAAAAAGAAAAAAAGAAAAAGAAAAGGTCCAAAAAAGGAAGCTACTAAACAGAAATGAAAGGCTGTTTCTGACAATCAGGTCAGAAATGGGAGAATAGGGCAGCTGTCTCATGCTCCCAGAAGCTTCTTGACCATATAACCAGGCATGGAGTAAAGGAAAAGGGCCACCATGATGAGAAGTAGAAGAGCCAGGACAATCTTGATAATGAGCCATTTGTAACGGGTACAAATGAGGTATCTGATAGACTTGAGTGGGTTCAGGAACCAGATGAAGGATGTGTCTGGACGACTGAAAAGGAAAAAATAAATATTCAACTTTTGCCTACAACTTACCATCCCAAGAACACCCACTGTTCAATAGAAAATTGCTTCTTTAAATATGTCAAAGCTACCAAAATGAGCAAAATTTGGCACCTTCTCATTTATCCTATTGTTGGCCTGATGGCACAAGAAAATTCTTGATGAGAGGCTAAATCAAACACAACAACAAGCCTTGTTCATCACCACCCAAATACATGACAAATCCTTTTGTATCAGTAAAGGTAAGGTACAAAGGTTAGAAACCTATCCAGACCTTGGTGGCCTAATGCCAAGCTAACAAAAAGGTTTTTATCTTTTGCAATCTTGCTTCAGAAGCCCCAGTAAAATAGCTTGTCACCCATAAATTCTTGAGAGGATGTTGGGATGTGATTTTCATAACACAAGGCTTTTCAGCCATTTGGAAGAGTGTAGTGGGCTACTCCTCAGGTTTTGGAGGGATTTTTGTGATCTAGAGGTTTTCTGATTTTCCTTTTCTCCTCACCAAGAATTTTATTTTCTTGGATGTTTAGGTCTTGAATGTTCAGTTCCATGGCTTGTTTTCAAGCCTAAGATTCCATTCTGCAATGATCTGATACAATCATCAAGAAAACTATCTCTGAACGTGTCAAAACCACTCAATCAATAACCTTAGCAAACCCTCACACGTTTGGATAGAAGAACATGCATTCTACCTTGGGGAATGGCAGCATTATAATTTGCAAGCTACCTACCATCCTCACTACAGCCGACCTATATTTACAATGGACTTATCGTGGCATAAAATGATACTGTAAGCATGAATAGGTGGAAAAACAGAAATACCCTAGGCAAAGAAGGAAGCCTACTCAGGCCCCGAGAAGTTTCTTGACCAGATAGCCAGGCATAGAGTAAAGGAAGAGGCCAATCATAAGGAGCAAGAGAACGAGGAGAAGGATTTTCAGCAGAAGCCAACGATAGGTATGCCAGATAAAGTAGCGGATGGACTTGAGAGGGTTCAGGAACCAGATGAAGCTGGTATCTGGGCGGCTAGGGCAGGGTGGGGCAAGGAGAAGAGAGAGGCCAACAATATATAAGTAAGAGAAAAACAGGAAAACTGAATGGCGTCATGGGGAAGGACGGGTGATGACAGTAGAGGCAGTCTAATTTTGCTTTCTGCCATAGTACCGTGTGTTGATAAACTCTCCCGTGGCCTCCCCAATTCAGTATCCATACAGGATACAGGGTATCAGTCTGCTTGGATATCCCTGCTCCCATCATCCTTTCTCATGCACTCACTTGGGTTTTTCCAATGGGTCTGGCTCATTGCGAGCCAATCCAGCTGGGCATTTCTCGGCTTCCTCAGCTGTCAGTAAATGAAGCTCAGCTTCCACTTTACCCTGCAGGGGGGATCAAAAGATCACAGAGAATAAACAAGGCTATGCTTTTAGATACGATAAAGGTACAGGTGAATTTGTTTGTATGATAAGAAGGATATTGTGTAGACATTTGTAGAAAGTATGGAAATGATCTTGATGGCAACATTTATTATTTATTTATTTATAAAATCGAAGACACACGGGGAGGGTGGGGTTGGAGTGGGGGGAAGGTGAGATGTGTTATTAATCAACCACCTCCATTGTGCTGTTCCCCTACTGGAGCCCCAAGCTGACTGGCAAAGCCATGTCTTTAGGCCCTTATGAAAAGATAGGAAGGTTGGGGCTAACCTCACATATTTGTTAAAATAGCCTAACTCTATTACTAAAGCAACGAAGGGTAAACATCTCATAAATCCACAACCAACAATAGCAATAGTACTTAGACTTATATATCACTTCACAGTACTTCACGGTCCTCTCTAAGTGGTTTACAGTGTCAGCATGTTGCCCCCCAACAATTTTATCGACCTCAGAAGGATGGAAGGCTAAATCAACCTTGAGCCGATGAGACTCGAACTGCTGGCAGCCGGTAGTCAGCAGAAGTAGCCTGCAGTACTACATTTAACCACTACACTACCATGGCTCTTATGAAAGCATTTGTAAGTGGCTCAGACACCTGCCTAATTCACAGAAATATAATATATCATATATTATTTATAATCCCAGAAATATAATTACAGAAAGGGGAGGAAGTACAGCACAATGACACTTGTAAAATCCTGTTAATATAGCCCATCTCAATAAAATTAGCTTTATCCTTCCTGTGGAGAGTGCCTTATGTCTTGGTCTGGTCCACCTAGTAGCACTGACATCAAATTGTGCAAGTCTTATTATGCACCTCCTCCCCTTTCTTATATTTTTCTGAATTAGAAAATACGTTAGCCACTTACAAACGTTGTTTATTGTGGACTAAAGGTATTTTTTACCCTTTGTCACTTTGGTAATAGAGCAAGCATTGTCTCCAGCAAGCTCATCTCTCTACCATATTCATCCCTAATACCTACCCATCAACATGAAGAATTGGAAGGAAGCATTGAGCTACTATTATAAAGCCACACAATCCAAGAAATGTTCCATAGGAATGCTATTCTATGTGAGCTGTCCTTACTTGTGAGTTATTGCTTATCCCATAATTTCCTACCATCTTTCTGGGTCTGTTTAGGGACTTTCCCTTTCACTCCTACAATCTAAAATAATATTTTTCCAATTTTCTTGGCTTTAGGTTTTCTCATCTCTCTCTCTCCTTTAAACAGCAATGCTAGGTCTCCCGCATCAACATTACCGTCATCTCCATTTCATCGTTCTCATTTCGAGCCAAAAAGGGCCACCAGCCCTTCACCCTCTTCTGCTTGAAGATAGAGATCAAGGGCACCTCTATTTCACCAGTTCCCAGTTCCATGCTGCACTGCTTGGCTGTCTTCGCACCACGCGGGAAGCGGTTCAAGTCAAGCTCAATGCCTCCTATGGGAGTATGAAGAGAAGGGAAGAATATTGATGATTCCCTTAGCTGTGAGACAAGGGCTGCTAGAGATAAATCAGAATATTATAATCTTCTATGTTTTTTGGCTCAAATTTTAAATTGAAAAGGAGCATGGGATTTATAAAGCCCACTTCTATTTTTAAAGGAACATTCCAAAATACTAAAATTAATGAGTCTCAGATTAATGTATGTCATCTTAATTTTAATTGGTGCAGTTTGATAAAACAAACTACTGATGACATCCCCACAGTCTTAAACTCTGCTTGTTACTTATTCCTGAGAGGATTATCCATCATCCCCTATGTCAGCCCATCTTCAGTTTCAGTTGTATTTCTGATCCAGGAACATCTGCTTTCCAGAAGTTAAATCTGATCAGCAATCAAGGCCTCCGACATACCAAGGAAGTCATCAGCAGAAAAATGATCAGCATCCCACACTTGTAATGTGAGTCGGGCTGGAATCTTGTATTCCGTTTCATCCCAGGAGAACATAGATTCTTTCTTAGAAATGACAATCTTTTCTTCAGCTGCAAGGTAGTCGAAAGGAAAGATGTAGCGCCAGTTGAAATTGCCCTCTCCTGTCAGTGAGTGGTAGTGGACATCAGTATCCTGCTTGTCTTCTTGCTGGCCCTTCAACCACCTGCATGAACAAAAACAAGGAAGTTGATCAGAAGAAAGGATGAGATTGGGGGGAAAAAACCAGCCATATCATTGAATGATTGAGTTCATTCTTGGTCAACTCAATCAGCAGTGGAGAAGGATGGCAAAATATAATTTGGGAAGATGGAGAGCTTTGTTTGCAGGGAGATGGAGGAGACCATGATGATGTGAAGTGAATCTACCTCTAATTTAGTAGATGGGTTGGACTGCAAGTCTCATCATCCACAGCCAGCAGAATAATGGGCAACGACTAATGCAAACCAAATACGTTTAAAAGGAACCAGTGGAATATAGATATAACTTTAGTGAAAGAACAGATGTGCCATAAAGGAAGGGGAAAAAAATCATAATCATGATTAAATGGAAAGTGTAAGACAGAAATTCAGAAGATTTAAAGATTCTGTTGTTATACCCTACAACAATAGAGTAGCATTTCTGTAATCTCTGAAGTGGCCTATCTCACAGAGACAAAGCAGATTGAGGAATACCGGATTAAAAAGTCTTCTCCTTGAGTGTGACTCCATGTTGTAAGTGAGAAAAAGTAGTGGCAAAGACCTCAAAATGCAGCCATCTTTAGAAGTCCAAGTGACCCAGACAGTACTTTGGATTACTCTGAATGAAGACAGTCAAATTGTTATTTCACAAAATGACCGCACTGCTTAATGTGAAAGTGATTTTTTTTAATATGTTAAGTAGAATTCATACTTATTCTAAAAGATTTGGAATTGTTCTGTTAAGCAGAGAATGGAGATAGAAAGGAAGTATTTTTTCTGTAATTTTTCTTTCTCTTGGGTTGCCTGTCATGGCACATGTCAAGAACATTTCCCATTGGAATTCAAGGAACAAACATTCATTTGGGGATACCAGAAATGGTCATATTTTAATTATGAAACAACCTTGCCTTCCCATACAAACAACCCTCTGAACCTCCAAATAAATTCTTAGAAGCTAAAAATAGTCATTTTTCAGCTTTAGCCTTGAAATGTTGCCTTTATTACCAGTGTTGAGTTTATGATGGTTTTCAGAAACGACAGTCAAATATCAGGAAATTCTGCCATTATACCAAAATTATTTCATAGATTTCCCCAGGAGTTTCATGCTGAGCATTTGCAGGATTCTGCTTGATACAGCTGAAAACAGACCATGTCCTCTGTGAGGTTGATTGTTCCATTGTGGTGAGATTATTTCTGCTCAAATAAGAGGCTTTGCCTGACATGTCCCCAAATGATTGTCCAAAATGCTTTTCCCATCCTCCAAAGCATGCAATAGATAAGCAAGCCGTCTTTGTTCAACGCTCCCATCCGCACAATCTCCTTGCCAAGCCAGGCCTCTGCCTCTTGACTGAGAATTATGGTTCACAAAAAGCAAAACACTCACATTACCGCTTCAATTTCCCAAAGCATGCAGAAAGCCAGAAGACAAGAACACTCCACATTCAGTCAAAAAGAAGAAAATCACCCTTTACATGTATCATACAATTCGCTCCAAGGCATATAGACTGCATGGTTTGGCAGAAGTGCATCTAACCGGGAAGGTGTAAAAATACATCTGTGAAATCTTGAATGGAAAGCACATCATTCCCCTACCCTCTAACAATGAAATCACTGCACCATCATGAATCCTACCAGCAGAAATCTTTAAACTGTTCTGCTGAATAACAGCTGACTGGGATTTTTTATTATTCCAATGTCAGGAATAATGGCATTGGGCTATGCAAATATGGAAGAGAAAATCCAAAATTACCAAGAGGACCACATGGCATTGGGCTATGCAAATATGGAAGAGACAATCCAAAATTACTACAAGGAATGTTTTTTAAGTAGAAAAAATTCTGAATAGAAATAAGTACATAACCCAATACTGTTTTGTGTTGTATTTGTCTTTTTTGGAACCACCTAAGACTAAGAGTCAAAAGCTGCTCATTTTGGTGCCTTTTGTGATGATCTACCATAAGAAGGATCAAGGAAAAAGAGACTAGTATCCCCCCTCCAGGATCAGCTCATGAGTTGCTACTGAGTTACTTGGATATACAGTTTATATTAAACCATTTGCTTAGCTAACAGAAACATTCTGGATATGCCCACTTAGTTTTCTACTGTTGTTTTAGATGTTTCTGATCACTTGCCTTTTCCTATGAAGGTGTCTCATAGCAGTTGAAACTAATGATCAATCTATCCTAGGATTGTTTGTCTCACTGGCATTAGCTTTTCAGACAGATCTCATACTTCTTCTAGGCTTCTCCCTCCTTCCTCTTTGACATCTCTTTGATTAATTCCTTAGATCAAGGGATTGTGCTTCCAGTGTTTCCTACTGACTCAGGCTTAAGTATGACTGAATGTACATGTGCACTGGAACACTGACAGTTCCACACATATATGAATGAAAATGTCCCTCTTGATGATCCCTAAATAGAAGAACGGGGCTATATATCAAAATGATGTCCAATTATTTTCTTTTCTTTCTTTTTTAAAAATATTTTTATTATTTACATATAACTATATCGAATACAGTGTGATTGACCTGGCATTTCATCCGCCGTAAAAATGCCATAAAAATTGGTGGCTCATGGAACACTTGTGTTCTGTTTTCTTTTCTGTATATGTCACTGATTGCTTTATCATTATGAGATTCTTTGTTTTCCTTCTACTCAATATATCATGTGTTCAACAGTGTTCTGGTCAAACCAGTGAAACTATGCTACAGTTCCTATGTCACATGAGAGATACTGGCATGCGCCTAATAAAATAACTCAAGGGTTCCTTACTTAGAGACCATCAGACAGTTTCAATTTTTTAGCAGGTGTTACTCTATGATGCACAGATTTTCCAATTACTTGTTCTCATTTTTAAGTGTGCACATGATGTAATTGGACATATGAAATTATGCTTTGCAAAAAGACTACTAATAGATGGGAAACAAAAGAAGTCAAAACAACAAAAATACCTTTAGATGGTCCAGAATTCTCCTAGTTCACCACATACTTAATTTTGCTAGGGGAAATTGCTTTGAAAGCAGTTCTTCAGCTCTACCAATACTTGTACTTCCCTACTTTATGGAAAAATATTGGTAGAGCTGACGGAATGTTATGGAGTTCTTTATGGAAAACTAGGAAAGCACACTAGGCAGATCTAAATGGTGGCACCTCCACCACAGGAATTACTGTACAAAGGATCAAAAGTAAACTTCTCTGTGCTTTCTCTTGCTCAAATCAGGGGTGGGTTCTACTTACCTTTACTACTGTTTTGCAACGGGAGTGTGCGCGCGTGCACTTGCTTCTGCACATGCACAGAAGCTTCTCCGCATGCGCAGATGATCAATTATGACATCCGGGCAGGTAGGCGGAGCCTCCCGCCACTTTTACTACCAGTTCTAAAGAACTGGACAGAACTGGAAGCAACCCACCACTGGGTCAAATAGTCCTGCCTCTTGGATGGGCTGAGTCTTGGTAAATAACTCCTTACCATGTCTGACTTCATCATCTTCAGGATAACCTCACTGATGTTCTCAGGAATTGCCAAAAGCTCACACCTAGCTATCACGCACAGCAGACAGTGGCACACAAGAACAAAAACACACAGAACAGAATAAAAGGGCAGGACAGAGAAGCAAAGTATCCATTACTGCTGCCTGCACAGAGCAGATGCTTTGCCTATGAAACAATCAGCCATCCTCTGCAGAGACTTGAGAGCCAAGCGGCACCAAAATCACAGAAAGCTCACACATAGAATACCCAACTGGCCTTGAGGGGCCGCATGTACGTACCCCCGGACAAAAATGTCACTGGATTTCTCGCCAGTGAAGTAATCATCGTCCTCCAGGACTACCTCATCAGTGTTCCAGATTATTACTCTAAGTTCATATCTGGCAAGGAGGAAGGAAGGGAGACAGGGGTGAGCAGAGGAGAGGAAGGATGGAGGTGGATCTTGAGGGTATAAGGCTGCCAATAAAAATAACGTGCATATACTTTTAAGACATCTACCCCCACCCAGGAAGATTTGAGCTGCTTGAACAAGACCATTATATCTTGGGCTTGTTTAGTTTCCTCTTCAGTTGTTTTGGACTTATAACTGGAGTTGAAAAGTATCTGCTGGGACTCCACAAATTCAAAGTGATGTTTTCCCCCTACTTCTCTAAAGAAACAGCAGATATCCTTTCAATCCAAATTTGCTTTTAGTGACTAAGGACAAGCCAGTATATGTTTGGCAATATAGATAGACAGTTTGCTATTAAATAAGCTTGCGTTAGTCAGAATAGGGTGGGGACCAAATGACATCCTATTGATTTTGTCCAAAACCCAGCCTCTAATAAGGTAAGGTTCAGATTCACATGCCTTAACCCAATCTGTTTTATTTTTGAGATGTTGTTCCAAAACAGTGTAATTTCCCACCAAAGTTATCTTTCTAAGGTAGCATCTTGCTTCCAACAGTAAGAGATGCTCATAGATAACCCATCAAGAAAAGCCTGAAGACAACTGCTCTCTGCTATCACCAAAAATGGTGATAGATGATGAATTTCACTATTCTCTATTATTTAGGATTATCCATGCCTCCAAAACATTTAGAATAAATTGTTTATTCATTTGCAATTCATGAATCAAATGCAATTCATAAATCAGTGACCATGTTTAGCTTTCCGCATAAACTGAAAAATAATATGGCTACTTAAGAGTTGCCTTAACTTTAATAAAGGAGTCATTAAAGCATTAACTTCTTTTTTTCTGGCTCATGAGGAAGCTTGAACAAAGGTTGGAGCCACTTTAATGGATAGGAAAAAAAAAGGCTGAACTTATACATGTGAAGCATGACAATTAATCTGTCTTGTTTCATCAGCAAAGTTATCTCCAAAGACTGTGCAGAACTTCACATCTGAATTCAAAGCAGTGATTTGGGTTATAGGCAGGGATTCATTTTGCACGTGTGGTAATTCCTTAAACCAAATTCATCTTTTCCTGGGAAATGCATCTTTTCCTACAGAATCAGTTTTTAAAAATGCTAAAAACATGTTTTTCTCCATCTATTCAATTGTATATAAAAACATTGATAATTAATTACAACTTTATCTTCTCTCTCTCTCCTATTTCTCAGTTCCAGTCATACATTACTCAACCTTTTGCACCTGGAAGATGTCTTGTTTTTCCAGCATGCACTAAACCCATCAGACTTAGGACCTTCCAAGTAGAATCCCACCCCCCTCACCCAAACTAGGGCAAGGCATTACTTCTTTGGTTTCCTTGGTGAGATGTCAATGGCAGGGCCTGGTGCCGGCATGTCCATCGGGAACATGTCCACCCATAACTCCAGCCGTCCCTGCAACATTGGAAAGACCCAGTTATTGGTTCCTGATGCCCCCAAGTTTAACTTCTTACCACTGGATTCCATTTTCAGGCTCCCACTGCTTCTTTGTTTATCTTATCTATTATAAACCCATGTTCATCCCAATATTTTATAAACATGAATTAGTCAGGTGATTCATTTTGAATTATGGACAGTGGAACACTTCTCTGAAGTACATAAGCTGAATTCAAAGGGAACATCCCTCCTTTATTGCTTTCTCAGTCCAGTGTAATTAGCATTCAGAGATACATTGCTTCAGAACATAGAGTAATAAGTTAGTCATTCATATTTTACCAATCTATTCAATCAACTGGTCAATCATGGAACACATGTGTTCTTTCAGAGAAACTTGTTACCGTAACCAAGTTCACACTCTTAATTCCCACCTTCTTGCCACTGAACAGTTGTCATATTAATATACTAATGATCTAAACAGTGGACTCTCCTTCTGCCCAACTGATTAACACTGGGAAAACTGTTTCTCTAAACCAGGGGTGTCAAATTGGCGGCCCGTGAGCTGGATGCATCACACGCAGGCCACGCCCACCCCAGCTCCGCGAATGGGAAAAACATTGCGAAACGTCACATGACAGCTACGTGACACTGTGAGTTTGACACCTGTGCTCTAAAGGGTTACTAAACTCTTTTACTTCTCAGCATCAAAATGAAACGGACAAGAAGGTATAGTAGCTGTGCCAAGAAGGACTGAAGACATTTCCAGCCTACAGAATGATGTCCTTTGTATCTCTAAGGAAAAAGCTATTAAGAACTATGCCATCTAAAAGTTGATAGTAGAGTACTTTAAGAGAGCTCTGAGGTGAGTAACTTCAACTCCTATCCAAGCTTTGTGTAAAGCTTCTCTAATGTGTTAGCTATGCAGGATGAAGAACTGCTCCCATTTAAATCTAAAAGGACTGTACACCTCCTCCTAGATTCAGGCCTACAAGTCATGTTGCGACCAACCCCAAAACCCATAAAAGGAGACAGTTTTAATGGATCAGTTCCTAATATTGACTCTATACATTTCATTTACAAATGAAAAAAAAGAAAGAAAGGACTCCTCTACAACCAGTAGTGCAGACTTCTACTCAGAAAAGATTATAATGATAAACTCTTTCCAAAGCTTTTCAGAAACTTCCTTTAAATGATGAGCAACACAACTTCTTAGGACTGTCACCTGTGATCTGATCAGACTCGCGGGCATTAAGAAATGTCATACGTTTATGCAAAAAGGATCTTCTTTAGTGTAATGCTTAGACTTTATAAGAAAGAGTATAAGACACAAACAGAAGTTATAGCAGAATGCAAATACAATTGATGTGCTAGGCCAACAGAACAGTGGAGACAACAATATTGCTAAGTACCTGCTCAATGCCTGGCTTGTCCGGGTTCAGCAACGGCCTTGTTTCCACGTGCTCAGGCACTAATTTGCAGCCCACGCGGGGGATATCCTCCCAGTGGTGCAACACAGTCAGTGCCAGATGCTCATCTGTCTGCTTTTTCTGACCTGCAAGCATGGAGAACACAGCAAAGATTCGGAGGCAATGAAAGAATGCAACCAAGGTTGGTTTTGTTATTTATTTATGCCTTCCTCATCCATACAGATGCTAGGCAAGGTACAAGTTCAAAAACCAAGCCACCCCACGAAAGCCAAACACAATTAAATATACCACAATAAAGGATTATATTAGCAAAACTGTGTTTGAATAATATGGTTCAAGTAGAATGAAAGTAATCCAAATGTTGGGTGAAGATTAATGGAAAGTTTTCATATACATCTTCTGAAAATTAAATAAATTAGTATAATGTTGCTTGTATTGAATAACTTAATTTTATTTATTAATCACCAGAGGAGAAAGAAGATAAAGTGAGTAACAGAAAGTTGCCTGGATATCTCTTTCCTTCATAATTCAAGCTACTGCATAGTCTCACTCTCGATTTAACATTTCTCTAATAATTGTGGACATTTTCAAGTATATCTTTACAGCCACGAGAGTGAGGATTTTGATTTTTGGAAGATAAACCTTTGATTCTCAGGATTCTCAATCTATGTTTACTTCTAAAGTCAAACTTTTTACAGTATAATGACACAATTTGGTTATAAAATAAAAAAAGGTTATGCTTCATAAACTCATACATCACTGAAGTGCCTTGATTTTCAGCACTTACCATTTTCATCCTCTACTTCAGTGGGGCCAGTGAAGACTCGATTGGTCACTTTCACTCTGCCTCGAGGGCCATAGTGGGGACCATCAACTTTTCCTTCTTTACAAAGCTTGGATAGGATTTGGGTAGGCTTTTGGGGGTCTCGCCACATATTATATCCATGGCTGTGGAGAGAAAAATAGTCAGATCAAGTCTTCAGGTCTGTAAATTTGTAATCCCGCCTTTAACAGATGCTCTTTTAAAATCAGGATGCTGTTTTTATAAGATTGCATTAATAAATGGACGAGTGATTTATGTGTTCTGACCTAGGCTTCCTTAGAGAGCATGAAGCAAAGTCAAAACCTCTTTTAGTAACACGACTGTGAATTCCGTTCATTCACAGTCAACAAGTCTTTGGCAAACAGTCTTTCAGAGGAATGTTTATCAACCCCCACTTTATCTCACTTGGAACACTGCCAGAGAACCAATTTCCAAATGCAGAGCAAGGCCAAACTTGGCACTGAGTCTATTAGAGTCATGAACAGAACTTTCCAATCTTGAAACGAGATGAACTAACTGCTTCCTGCAAAAGCCCACATCCTGTTCGCTCCTCTTTTATGTCCTATGGGAGGGGCCAATCATCTCCAAGGTGTGGCCTTACTCCCGAGACTACCCTGCTTTCTTAATTGTTCTTGTCTTCTGGCAGCTCTGCACATGTGCACGCTGGGAATGGGCTCTAGCTGTTCCTCTGCCTCGCTGCTGTCTAACTCTGCCACTGATGCAGAGCCCTCGTCCGATCTTTCCCCAGCCCTGGATTGGCCCAAGTTCCTCCCCAACCTCCTCACTGTCTGACTCTGCTGCCAGCTCCACTGGCTGCCAGCGGGCCACAACATTATGACTAGAAGTATATCTAGTCTACTTCTAGTATATCTAGAAGTATATCTGGTAGAAGTATATCTACAATATCCTAGAAGTATTTCTTCATATACAAATGAGACCAAGACCTCATCTTAAACAAGTGGGCTATATCTGGATCTGAAACACTATTCTCACTAGCATCTGAACATTATTTACCTCAGCTGACTACACATGATAGACAGAGGGGATACAGCTAATGCATCCAACATGCAAAGCCAGTGCTTTATCTGTTAAATTAGGGCATATGTGCCAAAATCCTATTAGATTTTAGACAGATTTTTTTCTGTCCCTTCTATCTATCAGGAGCAGTCAGTGTTGGATTAATATGACTAACAGTATGACTTGATGAAAAGAACTTCCTTTATTCCTAAAAATGTTATATGTTTGTTTCTTAAAATACTCAAATTCATATGGTAGACTGATCAATAAGACTTCCTAAGACATAGGCAGGTTTGAAAGTCAAAGATATGATTTATATCTTCCCAAAGAGATAGGCATTTTCTTATTAAAAGGTAGTTTTAGTTTAGTTTAGTTTTATTTGATTTGTATACCGCCCTACTCCCAAAGGACTCAGGGCGGTGAACAGCCACAGGATAAAAGACATAAATACAAAATTTAAAACTGAATAAAATCGAATTAAACAATTTGGCCGAAGACAGATTTAAAACACCCCAATAAATTAAAAACGAATTAAAATTTATGTTTTAAAAAGGGAAAAAAGGGAAACAGTTAGGCCAGGCCAGCCTGATGGAATAAAAAGGTCTTGAGAGCGCGGTGGAAGGTGCGTAGATCCGGGATCCTCCGTATCTCCGGGGGGAGCTCATTCCAGATAGTAGGTGCCCCCACAGAGAAGGCTCTCCCCCTGGGGGCCGCCAGTCAACATTGTTTGGCCGATGGCACCCGGAGGAACCCCTCTCTATGAGAGCGTACCGGCCAGTGGGAGGCTACTGGTGGCAGCAGGCGGTCTCGTAAGTAACCAGGTCCTAAGCCATGGAGCGCTCTAATGGTGGTAACCAAGACCTTGAAGCACACACGGAAGACCACCGGGAGCCAGTGCAGCTCGCGCAGGAGAGGTGTTACATGGGAACGCCATGTCGCTCCCATAATCACCTGCGCGGCCGCACTCTGCGCCAATTGGAGCCTCCGGGTGCACCTCAAGGGGAGCCCCATGTAGAGACCATTGCAGTAGTCCAGGCGGGAAGTGACGAGGGCATGAGTGACCGTGCGTAAGGAGTCCCGATCCAGAAAGGTAGCTCCATAACTTGGGTGAGAAAGGGCTGGCTTTTGAGAGTATCATTAGAACATTATTTTAACATTAACATTTTAACATTTTAAAATAAGGAGAAGGTTAACAATTCTTACAGAGCATAGTTCCAAGAAATGCCACATGTTGCTCTATGCTTGCTGTAATACCGGTTCTCCAGATCTATCTTTGTCTCACCAATCAGATCATCCGAGCCCACCAAGTCCCAATCATAAATAGCCACCGTCAACATGGATTCCATGGGGAATGTAGCCTCAATGTCAAAGGATCTATATGGGAGGAAACAGGAACAACGGCAAATGGGATCAACTTTTCCATGAAATGGAGAGTCTTATGCAGAAAGCTAAAAGACATCCTTTGGCTATTTTGAAGAAAATTTGTTCCTGAGGTATGTTTATGGCTAAAATGAGCAAGAAAATATAGAACTAAAAACGAAAACTTGGAGAATTCAGGGCTGCACTAAAGTTAGTTCATTAAACCCATGCTATTGTATATGTGCTCCTATTTTTCATGGTAGCATCTAGTAACTTGTTTTTTTAAGTACACAAATAACATCTAAATGCCTTAACTGGCTTCCATGTAATCCTGTAGTATTTCACACTCATTCTGATTCACCAGGGGCGTCTCTTACTTTCCAAAGACTGGGTTCAGCTGTTTAGAGATGTAATTCTCCTTGTCTTTGATATCTGTCTTTCCCAGTTTGATGGCAACATAAGGGTCAGCTTTGCCATTGATGTCAGCAGGATGCAAATCAGTAGCCTGGAAGGGAAATCAACCAACAATCAAAAGAAAAAGACTTTTAAGTGGTGGTACTTCCTGTATGGCAGGACTCCCCCAAAATGGTCAATATTAACCCTCAAGGGTTGATGGGACTATCCATTACTGTCGTTGTTGTTGTTATTTGTAGTATTTATTAAATCAGTATTTATCTAATTATATTCATACAATAAAAGGTTGTAGATTAATGAACAATCTGAAATTTCATGAGGGAGCTGATAAGCTGAAAAGTTTGGGGTACCTTGCTCCAGTGGTGAAATTCAAATTTTTTTTACTACCGGTTCTGTGGGTGTGGCTTGGTGGGCATGGTGTGGCTTGGTGGGTGTGGCTTGGTGGACATGGCAGGGGAAGGATACTGCAAAATCCCCATTCCCACCCTACTCTGGGACCAGCCAGAGGCAATATTTGCTGGTTCTCCGAACTACTCAAAATTTCCGCTACTAGTTCTCCAGAACCTGTCAGAACCTGCTGGATTTCACCCCTGCCTTGCTGTAAAGGAACTTTTCTCAGAAAGTTTCATCTAGTACTTTTAATGTTACAAAAAGACCTTTTTTAAGTCTCTCAAACATATTAAATTTAGAGTTTTTAAAACCTAATTGCTTTACTGCTATTTTTAATTGTGATTTTATGCTGTTTTCATTATTCAGGATAATTGCTGGTCCTGATTTTCATGTTACTGCTTTAATAATACATTTTCAGTTTGGTTTTTGGTTGATCTAGAAATTAAATCAAGTGTTATGTTGACAAAGCAATTCTGATAGGGACACAAGGAGTTCTTCTATCTTTTTGGCTGGCCAGTTAGATGGAGTACTTTGGGTTTCTTAAGAAGTATAGAAGTTAGGAGACAGAGGCCTAGAAAAAGTGAGTGCTGGGAAAGGAAAATCCTTAGCAATCAAACATACCAGACTTTAGGGCACATCTGTTCTAGAACTGGAACTTCAACATTTTGCCACCAATTAGAATACCTCTCTTTAGCTGGCCCAATAACCAATAACATCAACCCCACTGAGTGAGCAAACGTGTATAAAAGGCCAGCAAAATTGCATACATTTATTACTCCTAAGTCCTAATAGCATATATTTATTAGTCCTAAGGTGAATAGCACTGCCTGGGGCTCTTTTTCTTAATTTCCTTCTTCTCTCTACCGGCCCCCCACTCACCCCAAGCTTATAAAATTTGTTCCTAATTATTCAGGGGAAGGCATAGCAACAAATCATTTTTCCTAAAATCTGGGGAATCAGTACTCAATTAGAAAGACGAAACCAAGGCTGAGACTTTCTAGATAACACATGGAAGTCCAAACAGAGGTGGGCGGCACATGAATTAACAACCGGTTCTCCCAGCACCGAAACTGTGAGCCTTTTTCACATGCGCTTTGCTTGCACGCATGCGCGCGGCTTAAAAAACACAGCTAAATAGGACGGCATAGCAACCAGGATGGGTGGGCCAGGCCATCTGCAGGTCGCAACTGCCGGTTTGCCTGAACTGGTCTGAACCGGCAGCAGCCCACCACTGAATCCAAACCTTCAGAAGAGGAAAAGTTCAGGGCTCAGAGCTGGAATGGATATGAGTGCAAAACAACCTTGAAAGATGTGTCTCATTTGTTCTCACCCTCACAATGTAGATCCGGACCAATACATTGATGGGATCATTGTTTGGAATTCCTTGGAACATGCCAAAAGTAGGGTCATATCCAGCCTCCTTGGTGATATCATCAGGAAGAGGCACTTTATAAACACACAGGGACCCCTGGGAATGAGAAGACATAATTTTAGCTCAATTAAAAATCCATCTAGGTTTTGGCAGAGAAGGCAAGAAGTTACTAAGTTTGCTTTTCCCATCTTCTGGCAACAACAGCACCAGACCTGTGACACAACAGCCCCAATGTCTTCTGACACTTTCAAGTTTAAACAATGTGCTGGAATAAAAGTTTTTGTGGCTCTCATGGAATGAGTGAAAATTACATCACACTTGGGAATATTTTAAACTAAAAAAAAAGATAAAATGTAATAAATAAGTAATTTATAAAAATGTACGATTTCCACAGGAGAGCTGTATTTAAGGAGACGTTATTTTTTCAGCTGTTGGAATGGTGACAAAATATTTACCTACTCAGCAAAGTAGCGAAAAAAAAATATTCCTTAGTGCTGAACTGGCGTCATGACAATGAGCACATACTGCGTATTTTGTTCTTGCAATCTGCAAATGCTCTGATGCAAGTTTGACTGAAGAGGGTGCTGAGAATGATTAGAGCAATTCCAAACAATTCTTTCATTGGCCTTTTTCCCCCTAGTGTAGACAAGAGAAATCTCGCTTTTCTCTGCCCCAAAGCAAATGCGAGAAGGGATGCAATGTGTATATATGGGAGAAGAAATAACATTACAAAGACTTGTTATCTCCTTTAATTTGGATTAACTTTCCTGATTTATCTATCCTTCTTTTCACTCATTAATCTTGCTAAATCGCCTTTATCTTTCTTTTAAAACAAGACCAGTTTAACTGAACACATTCTCTGCTCAAATCAAAAGAGGAGTAAAATCAGATCCTTTCTTTGCCTCTCTGGCTTGCCAATTAGTCTACCAGGATTAATGAAATTGGAAGTAAATATAAGTGGAATTTCACGCTCACTTTGAATCTTCCCACAATGCGATCTTCATCTGCAGAATTGTCGTCATCATCTCCAATCTTCCCACGAAGGAGGTTAAAAGTATGCAGCCAGTCCTCAAAATTATCAAATTCTGTCTCCAGTTCTTTGGGATACACCTAAGATAATATGGAGCAAATAACATAATTTGGGCCTCTGGCTATTATGATCATATATAGAATAGAATAGAATAGAATAGAATAGAATAGAATAGAATAGAATAGAATAGAATAGAATAATTTTTTTATTGGCCAAGTGTGATTGGACACACAAGGAATTTGTCTTGGTGCATATGCTCTCAGTGTATATAAAATAAAAGATATGTTCATCAAGAATCATAAGGTACAACACTTAATGATAGTCATAGGTTACAAATAAGCAATCAGGAAACAATATCAATATAAATTGTAAGGACGCAAGCAACAAAGTTACAGTCATACAGCCATAAGTCATATTTTATATTTATACAGTCATATTTTGACTTATTCAGAAGCAATAGTACTTATTGGTCAAAATTAAGATATTTTGCTAACGCAGGAGGCATGATGCACAGACATGCATCATGTCAGCTTCAAAATGTGGTCCTTGATCCTTTTTATATATATAAAAAAGGAGAACATCTGTAAGCATACAATAATAGGCAGGAACAGAACCACCTAAATTGATGAGATCTCTTTTCCCTATTTCTTTTCCAGTTTTTTCGCCAGTATGAAAGTCAAAAATATTTTTATCATCATTTATGATGCAAAATATAATTGTTGTCACAAGTTTTATTTCATTTCATTTGTATCTTCTTTTCTCCCATTCTCATCATGATGAACAGCACCTACACAATACAGAATTCCACTATGATACTGCATGGCTGTGCGTGGGTATTTTATTTTGTAGAAACACACTTCCTCATAAATAAAATAAAAGAATAGTGAAGCAAAGAATGTGAAAAGCTTTTAAAATGAGGTCATCTTATTTAATCATTGCAATAGAGATACACTGACAATCTATATTCAATTTGGTAGCCTTTAGATGTATTTATAATTGTTGTCATCTTCAACCAGCATGACCTCTCCGAACATCTGGAAAAGAAGCCTGAAAGGAAGTGAAGACATGGATGAACAAAAGGAACTGCAACCAATTTTGTATATGATTGAAATCTCCCCCGAACTGAGATAGGTGGGAGGTTAGGTTGACATTCTTTTTCTTCAGAATTTCTGACTGTGGAATGGTAGAAGACTCCTCTCTCTACCTAATGGCAGTTTTACCTCTCTTAAAATATCTTGTTCCAAGAGGACATTCAAAGGAAAAAAATATGTTGTCTCTTAGCCTGTCAAAACTAAGTATCACAAGGAAATATTACTACGGTACATAATAGACTTTTCCTTTATTTTTCAATTTTAGGAGAAGAATTAACTTGTGTTGTTTGATTATATTTTTATCCTTGTAAGTGCAATTGATGGTACTTTTGAGTGCAGTAATTCTAATAACACCAAGTCATGTACTGTTTTCATTTTAAGAACATGGCCATGTACTCTGGAATTCAAAAAGATAGGCAGGAATATAAACAGCAATGAGCAGTCCAGAGGTTCTCAATGTTGCCATATTGAATGATACATGAAGAAATTTTATGGGAAATGCCTTCTCCTGAGCCACTTAGCTCAGTGCTGTCTGCACTGACTCATAGCAAGTCTCCAAGTTTTCAGAAGGCCTTTCTCGACTAATAAAGGAGAGTATCTGTAGCTCAGGGTTGAAATAAAGGGTTCTTGGTGCTCTCCAGTTGTGAAATGTAAAATTTGTTACTACCAGTTCTGTGGGCTTGGCTTGCTTGGGGTGTGTGTGTGTAAAGTGACTGGGTGGGCATGGCCAACTTTTTTTAAAAAAACTTTTAAAACCATTTTTTCTACAACCTCTTTGGCTGAAGAGGTTGTTAAAAAAATGCTTTTAAAAGCCTCTGATTGGCAGAGGCTTTTAAAAGCATTTTTTGTAGAAAATTTTGTAGGTTGTAGAAAAAATGTTTTTAAAAGAAAAAAAAGCCTCTGACGATCAGGCAACTCAGCTGGGAGCCTCGCGATCATCAGAGGCTGCTTTTTTTTTTTACTTTTAAAAGCATTTTTTCATCCAAAGAGGTTGTAGAAAAAATGCTTTAAAAAATAATTTTAAAAAGCCTCTGATGATTGTGCGGCTCAGCTGGGCATGTGGAGGGGGGGCAGGGATTTTTGCTGCCGGTTCTCAGAACCATCTGCCTCCATTGCTACCGGATCAGGCGATCCAGTCCGAACCGGGAGCATTTCACCCCTGGTGCTCTCTGAGCTTGGTTATTTTCTTGCAGATGTTTCATTACTCAAAATTGGCAACAACTGGTGACTAGTCATGTATGTCACTAGCACTGATGATGTTACCAATTTTGGATAATGAAACATCTGCAAGAAAACAACCAAGCACAGAGAACGCCAAGGACCCCTCTTTCTCAACTCTCTGGAGATGGAAAGAGATAATTTTTTTAATCCTTTAGAATGCGCATTAGGGCTGGCCAGCCCTACAAGTGGAATATTATGGGCATCTTAAAGCACTATACTTAATGACATTCTGCAAACCACATGGCATAAATTCTGGCCCTGCTCTCTTGGTGATGGTGTAACATCACAGGCACGTGCTTTATAGAGCAAAAGGATTATAAAAGGACCACTGATGAAGTCCATGATAAGAAGTGCCTATCCACTGTGCATGTACTACTACATTTCAGCACACTTTGCCTGCTAATTGTTAATTATTCTGATTAGAGGCCGGATTTCATTTGGGAAACTGGCCTCTCCCAGAACACACGAACTGAATTCTGAATGACGCTTCACTTTGGATTCTTGTAGAGTTCCCCTTCATTTTAAAAGGACTTGAACCAAAAAAAATATAAAAAAATAAAATACAAAACTAAAACATTACAGTTGAATGAAATGCTTTTCATTTCATTAGGATTAGGAATGGGAAGAGCTCACCTTCATCTCGTCAATCTTCTGCTTGTTCTTCCTTTCAGGGGCATCAGGCTGCAGCTGCGGCTGCTTTTTCTTCTTGTCCTCTTTGGATAATTTGACTTTGTCTTTGGTCTTTCCTTGGGCTTTTGAGCCTTTCATAGGAGAGTCATCAAGTCTCATTTCTGAGCTCACAGAGAAGAGCAGCAGATATGGATGGCAAGAATAAGATGTTTGTGGTAGGGAAGGCATGAGATAAAAAAACAAAAACAAAAAATCAGCATGCATGAAAGCTGACAGAAAAATTAGCTAGTAAAAAATAAAGTTTGCAATACTGATCTAGCTTCCAGCCCTGAAATAAGCATGCAAGCAAAGCACCTTGTGCTGGTTATAAATATTCAGTATATTCTGGGGGCCTTGTGGTTTCTTATTGGACAGATATTTCATTACCTGAACTGATAAGTATCATAAATAATTGAGTTGAAGTGAATGGATTTACAGAGGTAGAAAATGCAAGAATCAGAACCAAATCAAGAGAAAAGGAGCCTGAGTGGCATAGGAGGCTAATGCCTCCTTACTAAGGCAGCATTTAACATCCAGCTGCCTGCAATTACTGCGAGTTCAATTCTCCCCAGGCTCAAGGTTGACTCAGCCTTCCATCCTTTCTAAGGTAGGTAAATTGAGGACCCAGTTTATGGGGGCAATAAGCTGACTTTGTAAAAATATACAAAAGTATGAAGGCTATTGCTTAACGCACTGTAAGCCGCCCTGAGTCTCTGGAGAAGGGCGGCATATGAATCAAAAAATAAAAATAATAAAAAATAAAAAAGATATCATAGCTGACACCCCCTTTAGGTAAGAATGACAAGGTGTTGGCATCATCAGCTGTTGCTTTACTTGCAATCAACACAATTACCCTATGACACTCTGCCACAAGTGGCAATGGGGAAGAATCATCAGAAACCTGTGGCCTAGTAAACTAGATTGCTTCTGTTCAATGGCCATACCTCAAAGCAGTGGTGGGTTTCAACATTTTTTACTACTGGTTCTGTAGGTGTGGCTTGGTGGGCGTGGCAGGGGAAGTTTACTGCAAAATCCCCATTTCCTCCTGATCAGCTGGGACTAGGGAGGCAGAGAATAGATTGGGGCAGGTCCAGTCAGAGGTGGTGTTCTCTGAACTACTAAAATTTCTGCTACTGGTTCTCCAGAACTGGTCAGAACCTGCTGAAACCCACCTTTGCCTCGAAGCATTGCTGACCTAGTAGGAAGGGATAAGCAATGAAATCACATGGATGTGTTTAACTACAGTATTCATGCTTTCATTTCTACCATTTCTGCCTTTTTTTCCCCTTTGCTTTGCCTTTGCTTTTCTTTCCCATGAAATATAGTGAGCCCAAGTATAAAGCCTGGTTCTGCTTTTGCTCATAGACACTCAGGAAAGAACTAAAGCTTTGAGGAGTCCAATATATACTGTATTATTATTTGCATCCATGCATATAAAATTATGTTCTATCAGCCGTGGTCGCACAGTGGTTAGAATGCAGTACTGCAGGCTACTTCTGCTGACTGTCGGCTGCCTGCAGTTTGGCAATTCAAATCTCACCAGGCTCAAGGTTGGCTCAGCCTTCCATCCTTCCGAGGTTGGTAAAATGAAGACCCAGATTGTTGGAGGCAATATGCTGACTTTGTAAACTGCTTAGAGAGGGTAGTAAAAGCACCGTGAAGTGCTATTGATAGTGCCGCGTACTATCTTCATAGTGATCTGGTTACTTTAGAGAGCCAGGTTTTGGTCACAACAACAGATTAAGAGGGAGATTTGGAATGGCAAATGGCTGTTATGAAAAAAGTATGGCTGTTATTTGGGGGGAAGGATACTTTTTCATATTTTCTACTAATTTAAGCAGTGTTATTCTATAAACTCCCATGAGCTCCCATATACTCCTCAGAGCAGAGGTGGGTTTCAGCAGGTTCTGACCAGTTCTGGAGAACCGGTAGCGGAAATTTTGAGTAGTTCAGAGAACTGGTAGTAAAAATTCTGACTGGCCCCGCCCACATCTATTCTCTCCCTCCCAAGTCCCAGCTGATCGGGAGGAAATGGGGATTTTGTAGTAACCTTCCCCTGGATTGGGGAGGGAATGGTGAATTTACAGTATCCTTTTCCTGGAGTGGGGAGGGAATGGAGTTTTTACAGTATCCTTCCCCTGCCATGCCCACCAAGCCACGCCCACCAAGCCACGTCACGCCCACCAAGCCACGCTCACAGAAACGGTAGTAAAAATTTTTGAAACCTGCCACTGCCTCAGAGGAAATCCTCATAAGGCTATTGTCCTTCTGTACAGTTTCTTGTGTACTTACTTTAGCACCATATATCATTCTCAATATAGGGACTTGCTAAATATTACTATGCATTGGTCTTTAATTGTTCTGTAACAATCAATCAACAGGTGAGATGCTTCCTTATTAAAGAGCTGCAGTGAAAAGAATGTTTTTCCTGCTTATTGTTAGGCTTTTCTTTGTAAGGGACGAATCCCAAGATCTCCTCTCCTGTTTCTTTGTCTTTCTACTTTTCAAAGATTTACCTTCAGTGTTGTCCATCTCTTCTTTCTCCTCGGCTTCTGCTGCAGCTGCCTCTTGCTGCTGAAGTAGCTAGAAAAATGAAGGTTAGCCAATGGGGTGGTTAAATGTAGCATAATTTCTCTTTCGATACATGGAGCGTAATCATTTATCAGATTACAGAAATATAGAGAAAGGTGAATTCAAATGCAATACTTCCTATCGCATGACAAAAATCATGTCATCTCCAGTCTTGGAGAGACCTATGTTTACCCTTTAACTGGAAGGCTCAGAACAATGACTAATACAATGCAACTCCCAAAAGTGCTTTTTCAAAAGGCAACTGGATTTTTGTTTTTCCTTGAAGACGTTTTGCTTCTCATGCAAGAAGCTTCTTTAGTTCATAGGCAGCACAATAATACTATAAAGATTCAGATATTTCTTCAGAATGTAGGCTATGAAATCTGGAGGAAAGGGACATAATGCAGTAATTTTCTTTCCTAAGGAAAGAATAGTAGAAACATACCATAACCAATCTAATTTAAAAAAAAAAAAGACTGCTTTGGGATTGCTTTTAATAATGCCTTAAAATAAATAAATTTGGAAAGGCTAAGTAAAGGCTCATAATCAGGAATATGGAGGTGGATTAATTTGTATGTTTTGTCCATGAAAAATGTGAGACTGGATCTCACATAGCCTTTCATCTCAGTAGGATAATATTGCCAGATGAATTACTAGATACTTCTGAACTCTTCTTCTTTCTCTGATGTCTAAAAGAGTTCAGGGCCTACAGGCCATATACTAAATGAGAACATTCTGAATATCTGTCCTGCTTGCCGGTGCGTTGCCCACCTTCATAGTTTCAATGGAAGCAAAATATTTGGACCACCAGTCTAGCATGCTCTCATCAGGCTCCTCATCCTCAATTTCTTCTGCATTTCCTTTCTTCTTCTTCTTCTTCTTCTCCTTCTCTTCTTCTGACTGTAGGATAGTAGAAAAGAAGTGAGAGATAGTTATGAAATAGTTATGAAAGCAAAGCTGGCTGAGGAACTCTGGGAGTTGAAGTCCACAAGTCTTAAAGTGGCCAAGGTTGGAGACCCCTGCTCTATACAATAGCTGAGCAGCTTTGGCCGGTGGGTCACAGGTAGCATTCCTGGTGCCTTTGTAGAAGTCCCCAGCAGCAGTGTTTTGTGCATCCTTAATTTTCTTTTTTGTAAAATAGGAGGATTATACTGATTCACCCAACACATGTATTTTATGGAAGTTCTGTACCTTCTCCAAACAGAAATTATAGCCCCTCTGGCTTCAGGGTGCTAGAATATGCTAAAAACTAACTTATTTTTTGAATGGATCAATGTATTCTGCAAATCCAGAAAATTGATTAATTGATTAACTAGGTTAGGCATTTTGTGTGACTCAGTCAATAAATCTGGGGTGGACTTTTTCAGAAAATGGATAAATGGTGAAGGTACTGATTGAAAAGAGCTGTATATACATGGGGAGAAGGGAATTATATTACGTACCTTGGAAGAGGGAAAAGGGGCATTAAGTATGTTTGTAAAGAAGATTGGAAGTTACTTCTTTAAGCATTTCTTTTTTTCTTTCTCAATTTCTACTGTTTCCATCATTTTTAGCTTTATCTTTTTCCTTCTTTTTAATTTGTTCATGTTCATCATGTAACTTTGCAAAAATATTATTTAATTAAAAATTATACACATGTACATATGTACATATACATATATGTATACATATACATATACACCCATATATAGTAGTATACATATAGATACAAACCTACATATAAAAAGGAATTTGGGCCATGGCAGCAGACACTGCAATAAATCAGTTTATTTTTAACTGATTTATTGCCGTACCTGCTGCCATGGCCCAAAATCATTTTTATATTTGTGTTTATTTCTATATGTATCTATATCTCCCCAACATCTTTTCATTACACTAAAGCTGCAATTTATGATATAAATTGAGAATTCCAAGTCTCTCTGTGTGTGTGTGTTTGTGTGTGCATTGCACAATAGCTATCAATTTGAGATTTCTCTGTGTGTATGTGTTTGTGTGTGTGTGTATAAGAGCAAAGGACCTCGGGCAAAAACTTCCCCCAAATCTTCAGGAAGCCTAGTAAGTATCTATCAGTCTCAAATATTCACTTGTCTTTATATATAGGCCTTCCAAGAATGGAGCAGCTTACTCCCTGAATTTAAGAAGATAATGTTATTATAAATTGTTTCCAGATGCCAGAGAAGATATTTTAGTAGGACACATAGAAGCACAGCTGTCACTTACCACATCCACCTTCACAACAGCATCGGAATTCTGTCATCAGAGAAAGGAATGGGGAAAAACAAGGAAGAGTTAATACAATGAAGGAGAGTTCTTGGTCTCTGCAGTGCACCTACTTGGACATGGGGTACAGCATCTCTGAGCAATGGAGGAAGCCCAAGCACATAAGTGATATCAAACAAAAAAGGAAGGTAACACACAGCCCAAATCAATGGAAGGAATGTTACAGATGGATGAAGAAGCTTAGGGTACTGTTCTATCCAGATTTTTTTTTAAAACTAGGTCTCTAATTCATACATGCAGAATAGCTAATGGCAAATTGATTTTATTTTTATGCTTTATGTAGGATCATCAATTCACAAATTTTTTATAGCATGTATAGGCAAACACTGAACCACAGATTCCCTGAAACTCTTTACCACTTGTTCTTCAGGTTCCTTGAATAGTCTTCTCCATCTGATGCCCTTCAGATGTTTTGGAACAACAGCAATTTTTCTTACAGTGACTAGGAAATCTTGGAGTTCTGGCTTCAACACATCTGGAGGTCATCTGGTTGGGGAAAGGTATCCTGCCCCTCTCCCACCCCTCTATTTTCTTGTCATCCAGCTGTTCATCCTCCCCTGGGCAAAACATGCCAAACTCAAAAACACTCTGTCAGGAAGACACTCATTTTGAAAGTATGTACTGTTTCAATGCTTGCCAAAACGTTCGATTTGAAAAGCATAAAGCAAGCACTCTTTCCCAGTATGACTTTGAAGAAGGCTCCCAAGGGGTAATATAGAAATCAAAGGTCATTCTGGGGGATGGGAAGATCTGTATTGCACAAAAGTCTTGCAAGGGGATTTAATGTTCACGAAAGTGAAAAAGAAAAAAAGAAGTTCCTCTGGTAAAGGAAATCATAAACTAGGAAAGCATGTGGAGATGATCTATACATCATACTAAATATGTCAGGACTAAACAGAATACACACCCTTCCCTAAATACCAGAATAAAATTGGCTTGTCAATACCCCCCCCCCCATTTCATGTACTACATTTGTTTAAAAAAAAATATGAGCCTCTTTACTAATAGGTAACCAGGAAGATCAGGCATTTCCAAGGGTAATAAACGTTCTTTAAATATAATTCATGCCCACATAACAATTCGATTTTAACCTTTGGAGAAGCCAAAGTGTTATAAATCAATGAAGGGGAAGCAGCCTAACTTTTTTGGCCTGATATACTCATTTATCATTTTGAGAACATATTGTGGGAATGCTTGCAAAGAGGCTGCTGAGATGATGGGCTTAACCAACCTGCATTCTCAAACCAGGAAGCTCAATCATACTTACTGGACTTGGTTTTTTTCTAGACAGGTAGACTTTTCCAAACAATATCCCATACACAGCCATCCAATATGCGTTTAGCCCTATAGATTTCACCTGGCTAGGAAGCTCCTTTGATGGCTGGCACATCAGTTACTACTTGCTCAGAAAGCCAATCGTTTTGAGTCCCTGACGCGAATAGCAAAAAGGAGAAAAACTCAGAGAGGAAATCATTTGCTTCCATCAATTAAAAAGAATTCGCTATGCTTCAAGGCACAATCAGAAGAATCTAAATTGTTTCAGACAGAGTGGTGCAGGAACTGGGTCTCAAAGTTTCATTGGCCGCTATAATTAAGATGCTTTTTGTCTTGTGGATCAGACCTAGTCCGACTTTCTTCAATTAATCTTGAGATAGATTAATGAGATTATACAAAAGCAATCTTCTGAATGCTTTACCCGTCTTTCCAGATTTCTTCTCTGAAATGGAGCTTCCCACACTTTCAATCCAGTTCCCAAGATATGAGAACATGCATTTGTATTCTGCTTTTAAACTGAATGCAACGAACAACAAGTTTTTTTCATATATTCCTCTGACTACACTCTATGGAGCATGGAAGCTTTGAGCTCTTACTTTTGCTTCATTTTCAGCTGCCAGGTAAACAAGACTAACTGGAGTCTCCATAAATCCTTTTATTCCCAGCACTGCTTGTACAGAATTATAGAATAACAGAGTGGGAAGGGACCCTGGAAATCTTCTAGTCCAGCCCCCTGCCTAAGCAGGAGACTCTATACCATTTCAGAGAAATGGTTGTCCAAACTCTTCTTGAAAACCTCCAATGATGGAGCATCTACAGCTTCTGGAGGGGAGCCGTTCCACTGACAGTTCTAACTGTCAGGAAATTTTTCCTTAGTTCTATGTTGGATCTCTCTTTGTTAAGCTTCCATCCATTACTTCTTGTCTTGCCATCAGGTGCTTTGGAGAATAGCTTGACTCCCTCTCCTTTGTGACAGCCCCTTAAATATTTGAACACTGCTATCATGTCTCCCCTAGTCCTTCTTTTCATTAATCCAGATCAGGGCTGTCAAACCCGTGTCATCAAGGCATCATCACGTGACGTTTTGGGACTTTCCTCCCCTTTGCTAAACCGAATGTGGGTGTGGCCAGCGCATGATGCATCTGGCCTGCAGGTCACAAGTTTGACAGCCCTGATCTAGATATATCTAATCCCTGCAACCATTCTTTATATGTTTGGGTCTCCGGTCCCCTAAACATCTTTGTTGCTCTTCTCTGTACTCTTTTTAGAGTCTCAACATCTTTTTTATATTGTGGCAACCAAAACTGGATGCAGTATTCTTAGTGTGGTCTTACCAAGGCAGTATAAAGCGGTACTAACTCTTCACATGGTCTTGATACTATCCTTCTGTTGATGCGTTGATGTATTTGGAAACGGATTGCTAAATTTCCCAACGAAGATCATTAATATTAACTACATATTTGCTTTTGTTATTCATCTTAAAATAAAAACAAAAACACCACCCCTCAGTCCCAAATTGTACATACTAAATTTAAATAGGGTTGTTATTAAACATATTTTAAGTGGAATTGGAACATTTTATATGTCATTACTGGATCTCAATTCATCAGAATACACCTTTTGGTCTGTGGTGGATATACAGTATATTGGGAGATATTCTTGAGTCATGTTTCTGGAGCACATCTGTTAACAGTTCTGAGTTCAAAATAGCGGGTTCAATTGTTCAAAGCTCTAAATAAAAATCTTTGTGTTTTGAAATTTGGTCTGAACATTTTGTTCTATGTTGTTTTGAGCGTTCTAATGTTCCCTGATTGAACTGTGTTGTTTAATTAACCCCCGCTTCCCAATAAGTGAGGGATGGAGTGAAGTGCAGATGAGGAGATGTGGTTAAGTACATGTACAGAAATATCCCTTTGACATTAAAAAAAAAAAAGAAACTACTGCTGCTATTTCTAAAATTGTTGCTATGAGGAGAGGTACTTTGATTTCTTTCTCAGATACCCTGTCACTGTGATGGCAAACCTATGGCACGCGTGCCACAGGTGGCACACGGAGCCATATCTGTGGGCACACGAGCATTGCCCTAGCTCAGCTCCAGCGCGCCTGTGTGCGCCATCCAGTTGATTTTCAGGCCTTCTAGGCCCACCGGAAGTTGGGAAACGGCCATTTCCGGCCTCCGGGAAGGTGGGGGAGGCTGTTTTCACCCTCCCCAGGCTCCAAGAAAGACTCTGGAGCCTGGGGAGGACGAAAAATGGGCCTACCGGGCCCACCAGTAACGTTTTTGCTGGTGGGTGGGTGGGTGGGTGGGTGTTGTGAGCACATGTGCAGGGGGCATCGAATTATGGGTGTGGGTACAGGTGCACGCAACCCCTTCACACACTCCCCCCACTTTTGGCACATGATGGCAAAAAGGTTAGCCATCTCTGCCCTATCATATGGAAAGCGTGCCCTGTGCATTTGAGTATGAGACAGAACTCTTATTTTTCATTTTTTCCAGTTGTCACATGCAAAAAGCATCATGCTTTATTGAGTTTCGGGCTGATTGTCAAAGGCACATGGCATATTCTAACGAACCACTCACAGGTAGGAAACAGAGAACTTGAAAAGCAACAGGTTAAAACCTCTGCTACCCAACAGTTTTTCATAAGAACATTGTTTTCTTCCATTAAAAAATAGGCAAGGAAAACATAAGGATCACTTCAGCATGTGTTTGGGGGGGAGAGGGGAGGCAGACTTCAATCCGGTGGTGGGTTGCTCCCAGTTTGGTCCGGTTCTATAGAACCGGTAGTAAAACCGATGGGAGGCTCCACCCACCTGCCACAATGTCATCATGGATGATCTGCGCATGCACAGAAGCGCGTGCGCTCCCGCTGCAAACAGGTAGTAAAGGTAAGTGGAACCCACCCCTGCTTCAATCATGTATTATTTCCCAGGAATTCTAAGTATATAGTGTGCCATCTATGTGAAAGAAAGGGTGTGGTTTGTATGCAGTATCTTTGTCCATTTCTGTAACTCCCCCAAGACTTCATAAGGGCCAGAGCTGCTCTCCATCTCAAAAAGGTACCCTTGCTTAAGAGTATAAGCTAGAGGTCTTCAAATTTGGCAGCTTTAAGGCTTGTGGACTTCAACTCCCAGAATTCTCCAGCCAGCTACGCCTTAAAGCTTAAAGTTGCCAAGTTTGGGGACCCCTGGTATAAGCAAACAAAACACAACTGATGAATTAATATAGCAACAAATCAGAGGAACGCTCACAAGATCACCGCTCATGGGACTCAGAGACCGCAGCAAGATACAACCAAAAGAATGGATCCAGCATGCAGACAACACCCTCATAATAAAAAGGAACAATTATTTTTAAAAAATCAACATTTTCAAGGGAATAAAATTCACAAGGAAAGAAGAAAACAACCTACTACACTTCCTGGATATACTTATCAGCAGAGGAAATGATGGCAAATTAGAAATGTGAATCTTTTGAAAAACAATCCACACTAACCAGGTACTCCATTACCAAAATAACAATCCAGCTTTCCATAACAGGAGCTGGAGAAGACATTATTCAGATAACTACAAAGACATCACAGAATAACCCAGAATACCAGAAAAAAACCCCATACAACATCTTCAAACTAAATGAATATCCACACCTCTTTATCAAAAAGTGCTGGACTCTCAAACCACTACATTACGAACCAACACAAGCAACAAAAAGGATAACCTACATACATCAAAACTATCTCAGAAACTATCAAGAGATTGTTATACCTACAAGGCATCATCATAGCACACAAATCACTGTGGCACACAAATCAACTAAAGCCTCTAAATCATTTTAAGTAAACCAAAAGACCGGACCCAGTAGCCCATGAAGAAATATACAGAAGTGGTCTACAACAGGGCTCTCCAAATTTAAGACTTGTAGCATGATGTATTAACAGCGGTTGGAAAAATGAGAAAATACCAACGCAAGATGAAGTTATTAAGAAAATAATGGAATGTGCTGAAATGAGCAAATTGACATTTGAAATTAGAGAACAAGAAGATAAACAATATTATAAGATATGGGACTTATTTTATCAATGGTTAGATAAAAAAAATATGGAAATGAAAGAAGATAGAGATTTTTATAATACAAGAATTGTAGAATTATATAAAATTTAACATAAAGATGTATTATTATTGGATCGATTCAGTAATGAAATGAATGTTATAATATAAATTAACTCAAATCTTAGAATATTTTGTACAAAATGAGGGAAGAATAGCTATAGTCAAATAAATGATCAATGAGGACAATAATACATAGATATATAGTAGATCGATAAGAATTTAGGTAAACTGTAAGCTATGAATATGGTGAAGATGCACAAAAGACTTGTAATCAACCGACACACTGTGTGTAATTGAAGATGGTTTTATGTTTTTATGTATGTTTGTTTAAAAAAAAAATTAAAAAAAAAGACTTGTAGCATGGCTGACTGACGAATTCTGCATGTTGAAGTCTACAAGTCTTGAGACCTCTGATCTACAACATACAGTGTAAGGACTGTAACAGCTATATGTAGAATAAATAGGCAGAAGGCAGAGCACATCTATGAATATCAACTACCAGTTGTAGTCAGAAGACATTATAAAAACTCCTTACTCTCACAACACATGGATTGACCCAACCATAGTTTCTGGGAGTTTGCTGAGTGTAAACTGAGCTGTAAATTACCCACAGTAATTTTCCAACAAGGACATGAGCAGAAGGAGAAAAACAAAAGACAGATGGAAAGAAGCAAACCCAGACTTCATTACTTGAATGAAAGACTGATCAGAGATTCAATCTTTTGGGTGCCATGCATCAAACCCTTTAGGACTTCTGTAACTCATCCTTGATCCCTCTTACCGCTTCCAACTTCACCATGGTCTCCATCTTCTTGATGGGAACCTCTGGCTCCATGTTAACCACAATTTCACCTGTGGGGTGAGAGTAGGGCCCCCCATTTGCAAGAGTCACATAGGCGTTCATAAGTTTAGCTGGACAGAAAATAAATAAATAGGGAAAAAACAGAGAGTGCATAATAGGCACACACAGGAAAGAGAAAGAGAGGGAAAGAGAGCACAGATATATGAAATATTTTAGCATGGAAGTTGTCTGAAGATGAGATAAAGTACATAACATTGAAGAATGAAAACCTGGTTGAAAAAATGTAGAAGAATTTGTGGAGGAACTTGGGGTTTAAAAGAAAAAAAAAACCACACCTCACAATAGTAAGAAGCACACATAAATATTGAATATATGCGGTCACTATGATAGGCCACAAATTGTTTTGTATTATATAGCTGATTTTCTAATTCTGCTGAGTATATCACCTGGTCAAATATTGGAATAAATTAAGTATAGCCATTATCAATATTGCCACATATGAGATGGAGGAAGCAAAGTCACAGATACGCAGCATCTTCATTTCTTAAAGATAACACAAGGATGATTCTCCTAACATACTAATAACACTAAAAACTTTAAATAACAAAATATAATTAAATGCTCCCATAATCTGCTATGTCTGAACAAATAAATTATATTATGTTTTGCTATTAGAGACCAATTCACATAATATGCTTAAGACAATATCTCCTAACACTCTGAATTTGCTCAATGCTATTTCAACTAAGGTTAGAGTGTTGACTGAACTCATCTAGAAATCTTATCTGTTGTGAGATTTGCACATAATCACTTCACTGTCTTGCTATCTTCTTAAATCACATTTTGCCATTCACCCTCACATTTCCCATTTACTTCTCTGCCAATAAACTATCATCTGGATTCCTTGGTGCTCTCTGAGCTTGGATGTTTTCTTGCAGACATTTCATTACTAAACTAGGTAACCTCATCATTACCAGTGCAGCGCATTGATGAGGTGATCTAGTTTGGTAAGGGAACATCTGCAAGAAAACAACCATGCTCGGAGACCACCAAGGACTCCACAGTTGAACCCTGAGCTATAAATATTCTCTTCTATCAGTATCATCTGGATACTTAGAACGTATTAATAAGTCACACTCTTGGCCAATATGCACAACCAGCCCAATAATTTATCTTCTCATGCCATCTATTCCCTTAGCATGAATTCCTCTTCATTCCCTACCTGCTGTGCTCCAGTGCTGAGTCTTCTTATCTGGAGGTCTATAGATGAACTTCCGTAAGGAATTGACAGCATGGCTTCCCACAAGGGTGTAACGCCCAAAGGCACGGCAATCCACCACACGAATATTGAGGGGTGGATGCAGGAGTTCATTTTCAGGCAGATCCTGAAAAGAAAAATAAATACAAGTCATACCATTTTGATCAGGTTCTGGTATTTAAGAAAGAGGCACAGAGGAAACGTAAGTGTGTTTTAAATAAATACACTTTTATGTGTTTTATCAAGCTTAATATATTGGATTTATCAAGCTTAATATATTATCTGTATCACTAAAATAGGCATCCTGAATGCTCTCCAGAAGTTTAGGATTTCAACTCCCATTAGCTAGCATGGTCAATGCCAGCAGGATGAGTGAGTTGTCTAAACATCTGGAGAACTATATAATATTTGTAACAAAAATGATAACATTTGGAATAGTCCAAATTCACAACATAATTGGACTTTCTAATGAGAATAGTGAAGGAAAAACACCAGACTTTTTGGGAGATAAATCAGCAGCAGAATAGGACTATCTGTAGACTCATGCTATGGAGCATTAAGGCTGCTCTGACAAAGGAATAGGTGTGAGAGAAGAAGGTTGAGGAAGATGGTAGATACCAAAGAGTAACAGATAAAAATCTCCAGAGAAAATACCTGCTGAATTAACCTTATCAGGCTGTACAAACAAACTCCCTCACCCTTTTACGTTGCCTGACCTTGATTCAACAAGCTATTGAGGCATAAAAGAGACCTGGTTCCTTAAACTAGAAAATCTTCCTCAGAGGCATTAAAAAAGTCATTATTGTGACTATTGTTGAGAAAGCAGAAAAGAAAGCTTCAGACTGTTACTTCTGAAGAGTTTGGTTAAGTACGTTATTTTGAATGTTGAGTTCTTAGTTTGGATTGCTGAAAAACTCTAAAACTCTGTTCTCATTTCTAAATCCAGTTCCTGAATGCTTAAGGGACTGGGAAGAATAAGTTTCAATCAATCCTCTACAGAAGTGGGCTTCACATAATTTAACAACTGGTTCACCCCAGCACCAAAAATGTGAGCACATGTGTGTGGACTTCTGTGCATGCATTTTGCGCGCGCTTGCATGCATGCCACACAGCTTAAAAAACGCAGCTAAACAGGACAGCAGAGCGCCGGGGTGGGGGGCGGGACCGACCCGTAGGTCACAACTACCAGTTTGCCCAAACCACTACAAACTGGCTGAAACCCACCCCTCATTTCCTCTACATCTTTGGAGAGTCCATTGTTTGTTTTCTGGTTCTCATTAGCCAGCTCTCATCTTCTTTATGTACAAGAATCTCTGCCAGAGTGAGCTAAAATACTTTCAAACAGAATTTTGGGGCTATTCAAACAGTTATCAAGAGAGGTCATCTTGTCATAGCTAACCCATATCTAACCTGGTTGAGTTGTTGATCAGCTGATCAAGTGTTTTGCCCTGTGCTGAATGATACGATCTATGCCAAATATGAAGTTTGCCAAATTTTCATAAGAATGTGACATTTAGAATATGACTACACTGACTTAGATTAAATCTAAGATTTAATTATGACATCTAAATTTGGGGTGGGATGGGGAACTATTTATTGCTGAAGGATGTGAAAGCTATTACTGTAAGATTAATGCTCCAAGACATAAAATGCATTTCTGAATCTTTTCTTTTATATATAATGGCTATTTTTAAGTATAAATATTTGCATACCACTTCTGGCAGTAAAATTATAATCAGATTCTGCATTAACAGCACAACTCTATGCATGACTTAAGTAAATGTAAAACCTACTTATTTCTAAGGGGCCTTTGCCAGGTATGTAAAAGTAAGACTGCAGCCAAAGAGGATCAGATTCTGTGCCAAAGACGTCTATTGGATGATCAGTGTGAGCTCTGTACATAGCTGAATCTGCAACTCATCAAAACATTTTCTGCTTCCAAGACCACTTAACCAGTCTTTAGTAAATAGATATGGGTCAGACCAATATCTGGTTAGTCTTAACATTGTTATTGCCTTGGGCATGGTTAGGCCACCAACGTTTTATGAGAAATGTACTCATATTTCTAATCTGATTTTCCCCCTACATTGTTTCAGTATTGTAGTCAAATAAATATGTGATGTCCTTGAATTACAAGTATTCTACTGTCCCAGGAGTGAGAGTGAGGGTTACACAAATGTTATGCTTTTTCAATGTCATTTCACTATGGGAAAATCTTAGGAAAGATTGCAAGAGCATATGTATTCCTCATAGTCTAACATTTCAGCCTCATGCCATTTACTATGCTCACATTATAGCAATAACACTTAGATTTATATACTGCTTCACAGTACTTGACAACCCCCTCTAAGCAGTTTGCAGAGTCAGCATATTGCCCCCAACAATCTGGGTCCTCATTTTACTGACCTCGGAAGGATGGAAGGCTGAGTCAACCTTGAATCTGGTGAGATTCGATCTGCCAAATTGCAGGCAGCCGGCAGTCAGCAGAAGTAGCCTGCAGTACTGCATTCTAACCACTCTGCTACCACGGCTGATAGAACATAATTTTACATGCATGGATGCAAATAATAATACAGTATATATTGGACCCCCTCAAAGCTTTAGAACTTTGTGGTTAAAATGGAGAACAGGGCCAGTATATGGTGGGAAGGAAGCCCTGGGAAAGGATAAGGATAAGGAGATGGACAGGACACAGGATTTCTATTGTTCCATGGATATCAGTGATAAAAAAGATTTTAGACTCTGAGGAAATGAATAGATTAACTTTAAGAATAAAAGATAAAGAGGAATTGGTGTATTTCAAGACATGGGGAAGATTTTATGTATGGTTAGAAAAGAAATATGAATAAAAGATGATAGATAAACGATTTAGATAAATAGAAAGTTAAATGAGGGAGAGGATAAAAAAGAAATAGAAAACCAGAGGACACCAGAGTAAATGGAAAAGGGGGATGGGAGGTGGGAAAAGAAAGAAGATTATAAGGATAAATGTACAATTATGATGATAAAAGTGACAAATTGAGTAAAATTGAAAAGAAATTGAAAAGAAAGTATATATTATTAGAATATTGGAGTTGCTCAGATACCAAACAAAGAAAATATTCCACAACAAAGGAGAAAGAAAGTAGAAGGTAAGAAGAGTAGAGGAATAGAAGAAAGGGGAAAGGAGAGGAAGAAAGGACAGGGGACAGGAATAGGAGAGAAGGTGAGAAAGGGGGAAAAGAGGGAAAGAGTGGGGGAAAGGAAGGGGAAGTAGGAAAGAGGAAGGAGAGGAGAGGAGGGAGGGAAGGAAAAGGAAGAAGAAGGAGAAGAAGGTTTGTTGTGAAATGAGGGAAAAGAAAGGGTAGAAGAGCAACCCCGAATGTAATTAAAATGCCTTATTTTTATGCTTTCTTTTAGAAAAATATGTATATGTATGATCAATTATGTATAAGGGAATGTACATTCCCTTCTTCCTTATGCTGCTTCCATGAAGGGAGGAAAAACTCACCACTTCAAACCATTTGACCAAAGTGCTGAAATTGGGATTTTTCTTATAATTCTGGATGAGGGATGACTGGACCCCTCTTCCAGCACATTCAATGTCCACTCGAGGTCTATCCACCTGGGCCAAGTTCACTCGCTTCAGGTCTCTCAATCCCCAGAACAAAATCTAGAAGGAAGTTGGATCAGAGATTAAAAGAGGAGTCTGTTATAGTTGGGCAATTGGAAACACAAAAAAAGAAACCGAGGATGCAAACAACGCAAATGCAATTAACATACATGTTTAAGAAATATAAGAAGACAATGTAAGAAATATTGCCAGGAAGCTTAAGAAATCCCTTAAGAAACTTAACATATAATGGACCAATTTCATCATAATGAACACTGTTGGCCTAAAACTCCTGCATGCATTGAAAGGAAAACCTCCATTTACTTTAGTTATAAAACAAGGGCTGAAATGTTAAAGGCTTCAAAAAAACATATTCTACTTTAAATTGTTGAAATTCTTGCTCTGATATTTGACTCACAGCTAAATTGCTATTCATAAATTTCCCATGATGCTTTTGTTCATGATTGTATATATGTAATTATATCTTCCAAGCTCTCATTTTATTTTATTTCTTGTAAAATAAAATGAAAGGCTTCATGTGGGGACATACAGTATATATACAAAAATCTAGACAAACATAAACATACAGAAGATTGTGAATCTGTGCCCAGTAATCAACTCTGCTTTTGAAGATAAAGGCCAGAGATGTCTTCATACCACATAATACCTCTGACAGTTCACAAAGCCACTCAGAATCGCCTTATAGGGGAGATGTCCAGCATAAAAAAATTAATAAATAAATAAATAATAAATAAATTAATTAATTAATAAAACAATTTTCCAAAGGGAACCACCAGTTTATTGAGGGTGCCTATAGTATGGTCTGCTATGTGGATTTTGTGCTAAAGAGATACTTACAAATGCCAATAATTGTCAAAAGAATTCATATTACCTCTACTCGGTATTTGCTCAGAACAGGGCGAATCCCCAGAGGGACAGGCAAGATGGGACCCCGATCCATATCTGTGGGTCCATCGATGGGAGGCAGATCTGATTTCCCAGCAAGTCCAATCTGGAAGATAGAAGGCTGATATGAGAGAGTCTATTGTTTTAGCTTCTTAATGCAAGCATGATGCATGATGTATGATGCAAGCTTAATGCAAGCATGATGCAAGCATGATGCATCATCTGTCGAGAAGGTAGTTTTTCATTTATAAGTTTCCTATGATTTGGGAAGATCACTCCAAGATCACTGCAGATGGGGACTGCAGCCAAGAAATTAAAAGACGCTTGCTCCTGGGGAGGAAAGCTATGGCATATCTAGACAGCATACTAAAAAACAGAGAAATCACCCTGCCAACAAAAGTGCATATAGTCAAGGCTATGTTTTTTCCAGTTGCAATGTATGGCTGTGAAAGTTGAACCATAAGAAAGGCTGAGCGCCAAAGAATTGAGGCCTTTGAACTATGGTGCTGGAGAAGACTCCTGCGAGTCCCTTGGACTGCAAGGCGACCAAACCGGTCAGCCCTAGAGGAAATCAACCCTGACTGCTCTTTAGAAGGCCAGATCTTGAAGATGAAACTCAAATACTTTGGCCACCTAATGAGAAGGAAGGACTCACTGGAGACGAGTCTAATGCTGGGAAAGATTGAAGGTAAAAGAAGAAAGGGACGATAGAGAATAAGGTGGTGGATGGAGTCCCTGAAGCAGTAGGTGTGAGCTTAAATGGACTCCAGAGGATAGTAGAGGACAGGAAGGCCTGGAGGAACATTGTCCATGGGGTCACGATGGGTCGGACATGACTTCGCAATTAACAACAACAAATGATTTACACACACACACACACACACACACACACACACACACACAGAGTGTGTTCTGTTTTAGGGAAATTACATTAATGCTTCTTGCTTCATTTCTAGCTAATTTAGAAAATCCAATTACAACATTTTATCTGGAACTTAAAGAAGTTAATTGAAGAATGAAAAGGGCTGGTAACAAGCAATGGCGTAGCTGTTACGGGGGAAAGAACAAATGATGCAAAATAAAAGGAACAAGTGATAAACAATGTGTGATGCAAATAGATCCTCGGGCTAAGAGACACAAAGGCATAACAACAAGTATTTTGTTCGATCTTAACAGCCCTAGACAATTTGAGAAGCATCTTAATTTGTAGCACAAATGATTGGTGACTGCCACAAGATCTGCCTTTCTTATTATAAGAAAGTTAAGAAAATGGATATGAGAGAGGAACAGGGGAAGAGAGAAATAGGCAGATCCATGAAACAAACCCTATTCTCAAGTAAAAAAAGATGAAAAAGCAAATGTCCATTTTCAGAAATGAAATAACATTTCATATTTATAAGCTCCTGTCCTATGAGGGTTCCATCTGTAGGGCTTACTCTATGCAATCCATCTGCAGAAAAGTTGGAGTTATCTTGATAGCAAGTATTACTTAATTATTTAGCCTCTTGTTCTTTCACTAATGCCCTATTTTATCCAGAGACTTTTCTTGTCCAAATCCACCATATTTTTAGCTGAGATGAGGGGGCTAGGAAAGAATATGAAACACTACCAATAAATATCTCAGATAGGGCAGGGTACAACTCCCATCTGATTTTGGGTCCTATGCTCTTCCCTCAGCCAGAATGTTTTACAACCCAAGATTAACTCTGAAACAAATGAATTTGTCTAATGAGGTTTCAAGCCCAATATTATCCATTTATATTCTAAAACACCACACTTCATTCCATTACCTGAAGGAGTTCAAAGGCAGCCAGCAGGTCTCCAGCAGTTGAGTTACCCCGGTAGATCTGGTAATATTCCAACTGAGGTGGGAAACGTGGAGGGCAATATTCCTCATCTGACATCTTTACCACAGGTTTGGCAAATGTTCGCCCCATGAAGTCAGCCTTCCCCTGAAAATATACAGAAATCACCATCCTAATCCTTCCCAGGGTCTCCAAAGGGCCACTGCTGAGTGCCTACCAGTTGAAAATTTTGTTCAGATGTTCAAGGCAAAGACTATTACATCTTGATTCTCCAGTCCACCCTCAGTGGAAAAAAAAAACATTTGATGAAGAGTTCAGGATTAAAGTAGCCAGACAAGCTACTCTTTTCATCTCAGCCTTAAAAATAAATGCTTACTATTTATCTGGGAGAAATGCGTATGGGGACAGCAGTGCAAGTATTGATGCTGCTTTTCATTGATGAACATTTTTAGACATACAGCAAGATCCTGGACCTGGAGTGGTGCGGTGGCCTAAAGGTGGAACTCTCACCTCAAAATCAGGAGGCTGTGAGTTCGATCCTAGGTAGAGGCAGATATTTCTCTCTCTGAGCACAATGAGAATATATCTGCTGAACAAATCTCCACATTGGCGATAGGAAGGGCATTCGGCCAGTAAACACTCTGCTAGCTCCATTCAGTTGCCTAGACTCCACCCCGCAATGGATTATGGGGCTGTTAAAAGAAGCAAGATCCTGGACCTGAGCCTGCTGCTAACTATCTAGCTTAGTTGTCTAAGAGCAATATATTATATTTTATTAAGAAATATATATAATAATTATGAATATATAATGATAATCCTGAGGGATATCAGGAGACATTCTTATTAGGGGCTTCTGAATTTATACAATACCTGTAAAAAAAAAAGAACCTCTGTCTCGTTTAATGGACTATTGGGACCCAATTGCCTCACTGGGCCTCAGTCTTCTCTTACCACTGTATCCTGGTCATAGATTTCAATGACAATAATGGGAGGGTCATCCCGCATCTCATGTACTTCCCCATACAGCTCAACATTGTCAAACACCAGCAGTTGGTCCCAGGTAGGACAAAGTGTTTCATTTAAGACCTGGGGGATGGAGGAAACAAAGAATTAAAGGTGTCCAATATCTTTTCTTCATCTCAACAAATCTTCTTTTGGCTTCCATTTTACAGGATGGGTTTTTCTTTGTTAATACAAAACAGAAATCATTCACTTTGTTTTGAATCTGAAATTTAAGATTATTATACCAAACTCAACATTCTGATCCCCTTTTCAATCAGACTTTTTTTTGGTTCACGGACAAGTTGTTTTCTGTGGCCTTATCTTAATTATGGAATTCTTTCTCTAGAGAAATACAAAAGGCTTTCATAATGAGCATATCACAATACACTGAAAACATATTTACACAAGGACACCATGTATAATTAGCTTTAATTATATGGGGAAACATTTGTAAGGAACAAAGATGTCAAACAGTCCAAAGAGAACTAAAAATGCTTGTTATGCATGGAATATTTACTGACTAGAAAACAAACAGACAAAGAAGAGCAGAATAGAATGGAGCATGGAATTGGGAAAGTCTTGGAACATTTTGTTGTTGTAAATATGTTGTTGCTTTTTACTGTTATTTTAGTTACATTTGCATGAATAAGATATATGTCATTCATAGACATATATCTTATGTCAACTCTAGAGTAACTATGACTTTTTATTATTTATTTATCCATTCAGCAAACTTATATGACTGTTCACTTACCATAATAACAACAATAACAACAAAATACGTAAGTAAGATAAAAGAAGAACACTGAGTCACTATAACAAATGCCTTATCCATATATTTCACATACTCCCCCACATCACAGCAGTCTCCATTCACAACTGGGGGAAAAGCCAGGTCTTTTGGGTTGTCTGAATCTCTTTGAGGAGGGTATTCCATGAAGGAGGTGCCATTTCCTTGACCCAACCATTGCTTTATCAAAATGACACACTGGATGCCCACTGTGTTGGATCTAGTAGAACAGTCAAAAACCACCTGGGATGTTATGGTGACATGGGAATGGCATGCAGTGTTGCTCCAGAGATGACAATGCCTGGAGCACCATGATGAGCTGCGGTGGTGCAGTGGTTAGAGTTAGAGTGCAGTACTGCAGGCTGCTTCTGCTGATCACCGGCTGCCAGCAGTTTGGCAGTTCAAATCTCACCAGGCTCAAGGTTGACTCAGCCTTCCATCCTTCTGAAGTCAGTAAAATGAGGACCCAGATTGTTGGGGGCAATATGCTGACTCTGTAAACTGCTTAGAGGGGGTTATCAAGCACTGTGAAGCAGTGTATAAGTCTAAGTGCTAAGCGCTAAACAGGACTTCTGATTTTCACCATAGAGCAGGAGAAAGAATACATAAGATAAATTATTGGATAAAGAATTAGTCCCAAATTATTTACGGATTTAGAAGGATGAATGAGTACATTGTTTTTATTATTTCAATTTTTTTTTAGTGTCTTAATTGTAATATATTTTTTGAATTGTAAGCTGCCCAGATTCACTGGCTGAAATGGGCAGCTATAGAAATTGAATGAATTTCATTCAATTATCCCTCCAATTAATACGTAGCCAATAACATGGAACAGCATCTGACATACATGTTCTGCATACCGTCAGCATCTGGCAAAGACTATAGTGTTGCATGGTTGTAACACTGTATGTAAAAATCAGGAAACAGGAAACGTTTTGATCACACTCTTGAAGGTACCATCTCAACTTTTTTTTTACCTTGCAGACACCTCTGAAAAATTACCTAAAACAGAATTTCTACACCCTGCACCTCCTAGATGTGGTAGACTATAACCTCCATTACTCTAGGTCGCACAGCTTTCATGTGTCCCAAATGGAGTTTAAAAGAATTATAACCCAGCATACCCGGAGGAGAAAGAATGGAAAAGGCTGACCTGCAACAACACTTCTTGAGTCAGGCAGCTGCCATCTTACCTCAGTGCATTGACTTTGAGTGATAAAGAAAACCCGGGCAAAAGGGTCAGAAAGGCCACTGCTGTCTGCAGCAAACAAACTCCTGGCCTGGTACATATGGGCTCGGAGCTGGAAGACTTGTTTCTCTGTGATGGAAAGGACAAAGATTATTCATTACATTCAGGAAGACAGGTGCAGAATTAGATTTGGGGGGAAAGAAAAAATGAAAGCATTTTGCAATAGGCCTTTGCCTTGAACCTGGGTTTCATTTTCAAAATTAATACCTAGAAAGTCAGACACCTTAAAAACACTGACTATATATTCTGAGGGACGCGGTGGCTCAGTGGCTAAGATGCTGAGCTTCTTGATCGAAAGGTCAGCAGTTCAGCGGTTCGAATCCCTAGTGCCGTGTAACGGGGTGAGCTCCCGTTCCTTGTCCCAGCTTCTGCCAACGTAGCAGTTCGAAAGCACATAAAAAATGCAAGTAGAAAAGTAGGGACCATCTTTGGTGGGAAGTAACAGCGTTCCGTGCGCCTTTGGCATTTAGTCATACTGGCCACATGACCACGGAGACGTCTTCGGACAGTGCTGATTCTTCAGCTTTGAAATTGAGATGAGCACTGCCCCCTAGAGTCGGGAACAACTAGCACATATGTGCAAGGGGAATCTTTACCTATATATGCTCAGATACAGCCTCATTATAGTATTAAGCAGTGTGCCACCATTTTAGTGTACATGACAAATTATGGTAGAAACGCAACAGAATACTGGAAGTTGGAGCTGTGAAGTGCCAAAAAACATTGTCCCACATTCACTTAATCTAGCCTGCCATTGAAGTAACATAGGAGTAGCTAATGCCAAAATGAGATCCATCCTAGGGACCTCTGAGTCTAGAACTGCTGGGGGGAAACATCATTTTATCTCAGCAAATGTCTTCTGACAGATCTTATTCCACTTCCCCATTGTGTGAGAGAAGAAATCCTGTGCCTTGTGCACCCCCCTCCCCATCTCACATCCCCCTCCCCATCTCAAAACAAAGGAGATGTTTTCTTACTAGTATAGAGGAGGCTGATGGGTGGGAAATTTAGGAGACTTTGTCCCGCAGGAAGTTTCTTCTCCTCAAAGCCACAGGGTAGACCACTGAGGAAATCCTTCCTCTGTTTGTTGAGTCCTAGCCACAAATAAACTTCCATTTTGGCTTGTACAGTCCAGCCGGCTGGCCCAAATCCCCGTTTCCCAGGTAACTGAAAAAAGATGAGTCAAGGAAGAGAAAGATTTAACAGGTTGTGTTTCCATCATTCTATTAGAATCCTTCTCATTTATTCCTATTTTTGAGTTCTGAAACTCATGAAGTTATCACAAATACTACTATTTAATCCAACGCTTAAAAAAATACTAACAAAACCATTAAAGATATAACTGGCTGGAAATGATAGGAGCTGTAATCCAAGAATACTGGGTTGATTTTTTTTTAAAATGCCTTCCACACAATTAAACATGTTTTAACATTTTGGGTTTATCAAATTTATACATTATTTCAATGACTAAAATGTTCTGCATTTGGAAAAACACAAATATCCAATTTCAAAACATTAATTTTTTCAATATATGGATCAGGCTTTGCCTTCCCTGCTGAATGCTGAACCAGCCTGTTGTAGCAGAAATAACTTGGATCTGTTCTTTTGAATTGCAGCAAAAACTGCAATGTCTATGGCAAGGGTGTCAAACTCAATTTCATTGAGGGCAGCATCAGGGTTGTGTTTGACCTCCGGGGGCAGGGGGGCATGGCCAGGGGGCGCGGCCAGCTCAATGTTATTCGTCCCGGGGTGCCTGTGGTGGCCCGAGTGCTCTGCCAGTGAAAATGGGCTCCCGAGCTCCATTTCCGGCTGTGACAACCTCTTGCAACTCTCTGCCAGAGAAAACGGAGCTTGTGAGGGCCACCTACAGCCCTCGCAAGCTGTTTTTTGGGTGCGATGGCCTCCTGCACCCCTCTGCCAGTGAAAACGGAGCAAGCTGTGTTTTCAGCTGTGACTGTCTCCTGCATACCTCTACCAGTTAAAACGGAGCTCGTGAAGGACCGTGGGCCGGTCCTTTGCTGTTTCCAGGGCGGCTCCCAGGCCTTGAGTTTGACACCCCGGTCAATGGAAAGTTGCCAGTTTTCTTCCTTCCTTCCTTCCTTCCTTCCTTCCTTCCTTCCTTCCTTCCTTCCTTCCTTCCTTCCTTCCTTCCTCCTCCTCCTTCTCCTCCTCCTCCTCCTCCTCCTCCTCCTCCTCCTCCTCCCCCTTCTTCTTCTTCTTCTTCTTCTTCTTCTTCTTCTTCTTCTTCTTCTTCTCTCTCTCTCTCTCTCTCTCTCTCTCTCCCCCGCCCACTCTCTCTTTCTTTCTTTGATGTTTTTCTCAAGTTCCTAACATATTACACAATGAAGCTCTCAACAATTCTGGGTTGTGAAAAGCTTCAGCTGAAATTCTGTTTCACACAACTGTGTTGAAAGCACAGGATCACTTCTGCCCTTGTTGCCTTCAGACTACAGACAAGGGGGATCTGTGGATAAGGAGGAGCATGATATCCTGCCAAATTTATATCCCTCCATTCTTTTTTTTCACACATGCTTCTCATATCCTTCTTCTTCCCCAATCTATCATAGAAAATGAAATGTTAGTCAGATAGAGACAGACACGCTAAGTCACCTTGAGGAAAACCGTCTTCACTTTTCCACAGTCTTTGCCTGTTTCCTCATCCACAATGGAGTAGAGGATATCCTTGGAGGGGATGCGGGCATAGGCTATGCGCTTGCCGTTGCTCATCATCCAGATGAAGATCTCAGGAATGCTGTGCTGAGGCTGAAAATGACAGGCGGAGAGGAGAAAGACAGGGATTGTTGGGCATGATGAACCAAGCACCTACCCTACATTGAATCAATTTCTTTACCCCTTTCAACTGTGAATATGGGACTCTGCTAGAGATCAAAAACATTTGAGAATTGCTACTTTCCTTGTTCTAAAATGGATTTCCCACTCAGTCACCCAAACCATCCGTTGGGCTTCTTTCACATGTAAATGGAGTCGTTGTTTTTCCTGGGATCACAACCTAAAAGGCCCCAAATGATCACTCTACCGGCTGCTTCTTCTTATACAACAAAACATTCAGTCAGAACTGAAGAAGCTGCTTGGATGAGAAGTAAAATGTCTTCAAGGAAAAAACAAACAAAATTCAACTGTCTTTGGAAAAGCACTTTCAGGATAACTGTGAGGAGGATGCCTGAGAATCTCCATAGACACTTAGATCTTCCTTCCTATTCAGGACAGAGGGTTAAAGTGTTGGTGCAGCTGTCCCCACAACACGGATGTTGCACCAACAAATCTGCAGCTATTTCCTTCCTTGATTGAAACAAAAACAGTACTGCAAGGAGCAGGCCTCTGTATGCACCTGCAGACTTAAATCATCCTTGATACCCAGGGTTAGTTAAGGTGTACATATAAAGAGGGATAAAGTTATGAACGAATGAAACTTAGTCTCACCTCATCTGCAAGGAACCGCAGTTTTTGTAGGAAGTTTTGGGATTGCTTCAACTTGTCCCTGATAGTGGTCTTCTTCACCTGAGATCTCATGGTCTTAGCTTGCTGGCCCATCGTTTCCTGTATAATGAAAGAAAAAGCAGAGAAAAAGAAATGAGACTGAAAGACAAGAAAAAAAGCTGCAAAATGCAGTGGTCCGCATGGTTTTGTGCAGACTTCAGTATGCACATATATCACCTCTCCTGCGGGAGCTACATCGGCTGCCGATTTGCTTTCTGGTACAATTCAAGGTGCTGGATGTCAACTTTAAAGCCCTTCAAGGCTTGGGACAGATTATCTGAGGGACCGTCTCTTGCCGGTCACATCTATCCAACCCACCAGAGTGGGAAGGCAAGGAATGTTGTGGGTCCCATCCCCGAGGGAGATACACCTGATGGGGCCCAGAAGAAGGTCCTTCTCCATGGTGGCTCCCTCTCCCTAGAACATCATTCCCCCAGAGATTAAAATCGTCCCCACTCTAACACTCTTCCGGAAGCTGCTGAAGACCTGGTTCTGCCAGTGGGCCTGGGAAATGCAGAGCTGGATGGAGCCCATTACATGGCTCGTGTGATGTATTGTCGCTGGGGTGGGGTGGGGTGGGGTTATTTTATTTTATTTTATTTATTATATGATTATTCTCTTTTATTTGTTTTATTGTTTTATATATGAGGTTTTTATATTTCTGAGTCGCCATGTGTGACTAGGCGGCAATATAAATTTAAATAAATAAATAAATAAATAAATAAGGATATGCATTCAGAAATGGATGCATCTAATGTACCTGGCACACAAGCCATATATAAGCTAAAGAGGAATAGGACAAAAAATTCCTGATGATGATGTTAGTAGTCTGGTAGCAAAATGTTCAGAAACTAAATTGAAACAAGCTTGGAGAGCAAACCACTGCCAAAATCTAATGTACCTGGGCCTATTTCTGACCACATGTAAACCATGGAATTCTGTTTTATATTCTTTATTAATATCTAAACTACCCTTAGGTTATTCTAACAGAAAAGGTTTTACGATTTATACAATCTGAACAGAAACCAGAGTACATTCTTAAGGAATATAATTCATGTTTTACAGTGTATTCCTAAACATGGTTTTGCTCAGGGGTGAAATGTAAAATTTGTTACTACTGGTTCTGTGGGAGTGGCTTGGTGGGGTGGTGGTAATGTGACTGGGTGGGCGTGGCCAACTTTTTTTGAAAAAAAAAATTTCAAAGCATTTTTTCTAATGCTTTGAAAAGCCTCTGCCGATCAGGCAACTCAGCTGGAATCGTCAGAGAGGCTTTTTAAAAAATACCTCTCTGACGATCACAGCTGAGTTGCCTGATCGGCAGAGAGGCAATCATTTAGCAGAATCTCTAACCCAGTGTCTTGACAATGCATTATGAAATGTTTTGTGCATTAAAAAAAAAGATTAACAAATGAATGAATGAATGAATGAAAGAAAGAAAGAGGGAGTAGGAGAGAGGGAGGGAGGGAGGGAGGGAGGGAGGGAGGAAGGAAGGAAGGAAGGAAGGAAGGAAGGAAGGAAGGAAGGAAGGATGCTCACCAGTTCCCGCATGCAGGATTTCAGCCTTTCCCGGTCCAGACGTGTCCGGGAGGAGTGGTTGTGATCTTTGTTGGAGAGAGACACAAATCTCCTGTGGAAATATTGTGAAAAAAGAGAGAATTGTGACCACAAAATTCAGTCCTCAAACTTTTATTCTTTAATATTTGATTTTTGAATAGAAAATGGGAATCTCACCAAATTTACTGGTGATAGAAAATGAGGGGGGAGGTAAGGGGGTGCATGACTAGTAGATACAGTAGAAACAAAAAGGAGATGTGGAATGGGATACATACATCTTCCTTTCTGCTTTTTTTTCTTTCTTGGAATTTCCCTGTTTTCCCAAATGCCAGGCTGTAGTTATTATGTACCAAGGCAAGATAGCATCTACTTCTGCTCTTAGAAACCCTTGAAAATATTTTGTATTCCATAATATAAACATGCTTAGTTAGGGCTTAATTAGACAATAATTTCAGTATTTTTCAAAGAGGGTCTTTCAAATAAAACTAATTTTGAAGTGGTACAATACTTTCAAAATTTCAGAATGTGGTACTTAAAGCTAAAACTGAAGAGAAAGAGAGAAAGGAGAGATTAAATTTCTCTAAAGAGCCCAAATAACAAGCCATTGTTACAAGAAACACATGAAAGATGCAGTAGGTATCTTTCCTTCGTCAAGCAAATAAGCTTTAAAGCTGTGGACAATTAATTAATATTCTAGAATTTCCAAATGGAAAGCAACAGTATACAGAGTATTTGGTAGTCTTTTGTTTTAGAAGCCAGTATGCCTAATTGACTAACTATTCTATGTACCAGTAGCTGCCAAAAGCCTTTTCACTAGATTAACAGAAATATATAGAATGTGTAGATGGATGGATAGATAGATGGATGAAAACTGACCACATGGACTCAAACTGCAAAGAGGCTGACCATCCTTACTTTTACTGGAACCTTGATAAGAAGGAATGATTTGGAGAAGATGAACTAAAATTCAGAGACAGTTCATTGTTTGAATCCATCAAAACAAGACCAATCCAGATATTGATTGATTGATTGATTGATTGATTGATTCGATTTATATGCCGCCCTTCTCTGAGACTCAGGGCGGTTTACAATGCGTTAAGCAATAGCCTTCATACTTTTGTATATACCTGCTTAGTAGGGCTTTTGCCCCCCACCCCCAAGCAGTGTTCTTTTTTATACAAAGTCAGCTTATTGCCCCCACAAACTAGGTCCTCATTTTACCTACCTCGAAAGGATGGAAGGCTGAGTCAACCTTGAGCCTGGTGAGATTTGAACTTGCAGTAATTGCAGGCAGCTGGTGCTATTTAACAGCACTTTAGTCTGCTGTGCCACCAAGGCTCTTAGATAATGTATTAGATAATACATACTGCCATTTAAAAAAGTAAAAGAAAAAATTCCCCTGTCCAGTCGTGTCTGACTCTAGGTAGTGGTGCTCATCTCCATTTCTTAGCCAAGGAAGCCAGCATTGTCCAAAGACAATTTCCATAGTTATGAGACCAGCATGACTATACACCAAGGTACATGGAACACTGTTAACCTTCCCACCGAAGTGGTACCTATTTATCTACTTGCATTTGCAGGCTTTCAAACTCTGGGTGGGCAGGAGCTGAGGTAAATAATGGGAGCTCACCTCGCTGTGTAGTGCTCGGGTCTTGAACCTGGGCTGCCAGCTGACAAGCTCAGCATCTTTAACCGCTGAGCCATCGTGGATGTAAACCTCACCAATTATTTGAATCAAGGGCATTAAGAGGCCTAATCCCTTGGGAAGAAAGGTAGCTTCATTAGCACCCCCAATCCCTTTTCCTACTTACAGACATCCACTGCTCAGTTCTTCCAGCACTCCTCGGAGACGGCGCTCTGGGTGAGGTTTTTCAGTCTTGATCATCTCATGCACATCATTGAGGCCTTCTTCCTAAAGAAGCAGAAATGATTTTTCAGTAGGCAGGGCTACAATGGGAGATTTGCACCCGTCATTCCAGAGGCATTTTGAGTGGTGCGGTGGCCTAGAGATGGAGCTTTTACCCCACAATCAGGAGGCTGTGAGTTTGATCCTAGGTAGAGGCAGATATTACTCTCTCTGGGCACAATGAGAATACATCTGCTGAACAAAACTCCTCATTGGCGACAGGAAGGGCATCTGGCCAGTAAACACTCAGCTCCATTCAGTTGCCCAGACTCCACTCCGAAAGGGATTATGTGGTCATTAAAAGGAGATGATGATGATGATTTCATAGGCATTACATTCCAACCCACCCCATTCTTCCTCTCATCCTCCTATTTCCCTTGCAGGAACTCACCAGCTTGTCTGCAATCTTATCAATGATATTTGAATTATACAGACGTCGCCTCTGGTCCTGCCACCAACTCTTGATGTAAATACAAGGCTTCTTGTCAAAATATGGTAAGTGGAAATAGTTCCTATAATAGCAAGAGAAAAAGTGACATACTTTCATTCAGTAACAGAATAGCTCCCCCCCCCTTTGTTAGTATTTTTCTCTAATACTGGTAGTCCTCAACTTACAACATTTCATTTAGTGACTGTTCAGAGTTACATCACTGAAAAAAGTGCCTTATGACTATTTTTCACACTTCTTGTAGCATCCCCATGGTCATGTGACCAAAATTCAGACGCTTCCCACTGACTCATGTTTATGATGGACGCAGTGCCGGTGGGGGGGGGGCTGTCACGTGATCGACTTTTGTGGTTTTCTGACAAGCAGAGTCAATGGGGAAGTCAGGTTCACTTAACAACCAGTTGTTACTAACTTAACAACTGCAGCGATTCACTTAACAACTGTGGCAAGAAAGGTTGTAAAATGGGGCAAAACTCACTTAACAGATGTCTCACTTAGCAACAGAAATTTGGGGCTCCATTGTGGTTGTAAGTCAAAGACAAAGGCTTACTGTACCTCATGAGCTACATGGAATCTGGGACAAAATTTTCCAAGATCTAATGCATTTTTTACTGATGGAAATGCAATAGTGACAAAGGCTTAGCACAAAAGTCTTTTGCGTTTTGCCATCCCTCCTACATGGTACTGAAAATGGGGAAATGCAGTATCATTTGCCCCATCTCTGAATCAAAGAAAAGAAAACCCATGAATATATATCTTCAAGAGCTGCGGTGGCGCAGTGGTTAGAATGCAGTGCTGCAGGCTATTTCTGCTGATCACCGGCTGCCAGCTGTTTGGCAGTTCGGGTCTCACCAGGTTTAAGGTTGACTCAGCCTTCCAGCCTTCTGAGGTGGGTAAAATGAGGACCCAGATTCTGGAGGCAATATGCAGATCCTGCAAACTGCTTAGAGAGGGCTGTAAAGCACTGTGAAGTGGTATATAAGTCTAAGTGCTATTGCTATTGTTATTGACACCCAACAGATCTTACAGTCTTCCTCTTTTTAAGTAAATGTCCTTTCATATTAACAAGACCGGCCAAGCTCACTTGCCTGTCAGTAATCAATGGTTTCAGGGCTGGAGAAGTAGAGACTGAGAAAAATTCCCCATCGATATTGGCCTCCTCATCACTGTCATTCTGTAACAGCTCAGATTCCTCCTCATTGCCATCCCCACCATCTTTCTTCTTCTTGATGGTGGGTCTGGATATGCCATCAATTTCATTGCCATAGTTGCCTTGGGAAAAAGAAAAAGGAATCAGATTCTGTAGGATGAAGAATGGAAAGATTATACCATTTATTAGAGGTACCGAGCCTTGCCTAACCATACCAATGGTATCTTAGATCTACCCAGAGGCTGAATTAAGATTTTGGGCATGATGAGAATAACCATAAGGCCCAAACTCCAGGAATGAGTATTTGGGATAAAATTGTTGAGTGAGATTTCATAGTTATACTTTAATGGATTAGTGTTACGCCTGCAGATTGGATTTCCATTGGAAATGGAAGAAACAGAATCTAAAATTTGAATAAGACCGATATTACATAAATCATTCTCAGGAATATGAAATTTTCATGATCATGCTCCCCTGTCATTATTCAATCCTGAAAGTGATCCATATTTTATTATGTTCAACATCTGGAGAACTTTTAGATCAAGCTGTATCAGAAGGATTGAAATATAAATCACAAAAATTCAAACTAAAAATAATGTGAACAATCACGGTGATGGCAAGTTTCAAAATCACCTATACAATTCATCACACATCAGAATTAGTTTGTTTGTATCCTATACCAAGAACCATCTTCCTCTTCATCACCACCACCACAAACCATCCTGAAGCAATGTTACTCAAATCATGTGTACACATTCTTAGCTGAACAACTGGCATCTTAACTGGCATCTTAATATGTCATTTTAAAATCATTTATGCCAATATGCGTATTTCAGTCAAATATATCTCCCTACCTACCATTCATTCTCCTGTTTTAATGTTTGAAAAAATGACTAACTAAAGTTGAAGTACAGCTTGACAAATGAGGGGGTCAGTGAGGATTTATCATTTTACATATTTTATAAACCACAGTTTCATCCAGAAATATATTTGTGGGCAAGAAACATAAAAAATCAAACAATATTGAAAAAATAAAAATAGTAAATTGAACAGAGTTATGGATATTCAACATACTAGAAATATAATCAGTGTAAAGTTTAGAATGCAAAAGGAATACAATATCTATCCTAAGCATACTTCCTTGTAGATAAAAGTCTATGGAGATTCTCAATCATCCAGGTCATCGTTGTCCCAAACTGGTGCTTTTTCAAGAGAAAACTGGATTTTCTGGGTTTTTTTAAAAAAAGATGTTTCACTTCCCATCCAAGAACCTTCCAGTTGCCTCTTGAAAAAGCACCTTTGGGACTCCTTGTAGATAGTAATTTTTATTAAGGCATTACTATTGGGAAACAAATAGAAGTACGTGTACTTAAGTTCTGTCTATTGAAGGTCAAATAGAAAGTTGTGATTTATGCGTTGTTCAGTACACTGAACATAGGAATCTTTAGTCAACTCTATTTGCAGAATTTTAGAATATCTACAAAATGAAATCTAAGAATAAACCAGCAATCTTTTTAAGTTTAGGGACTCAGGAATTTTTTATGATCATTTTGATTTAATTCTTCTAAATAGCATTTTTAGAAATATCAATAGAATGCTTTCTTTGATTCATTATTAATCAACTAAACCATTTGGTAATAACAAATGCAACACCATAGATGTTACATGCTTTGTATTTTGATAAACATTATGTGCTGGAACAGAACATCTACAATAATGAGAAATCATCAATCGATAATAGAGCAATTTTGCAAGGACATCCTTCTTGTTCAGACACTTGGAAAAGCCAGTTCATACTTTCAGTTCTGCTTGTATGGCATCACAGAAAGCAAATCTCCCTCTGTCACCCATACCCAATGCTTAACAAAATTCCTTCACAAACCTATTGTGACCTCAAAATTAATTGGTTTGTCTCCATTCTTTCTGTCAACCATGGTAGCCTCCAGGAAGGATCCAAAGAGAAAAAACTCCTCCATCTTGCCTGTGCAGCTCTGTGAAATGGGGTGGGATAAAAACACAGCAGGTTTTATGATTATGATGAAGGACTTCAACCCATGAAGGTGACATATTTATTCAGATCATTGGTGAATAGCATAGGTAGGAAACATGGAATCAGGGGCAGCAATATGTCTGCAAATAATCTCTTTGATGCCCACCAATTGAAGCAGGCAGTCCACTATAGGGGACACATTGTGCAGAAACAAGTTCCTCCTAAGGAGGCATTTTATACGAGTATACAGTATATAGTATTATAATACTATATATTTATATAATTATAACAGCCTTCGGTCTGACCTAAGTATAGTACACAAAATTATTTGCTACAACGTCCTACCTGTCAATGACTACTTCAGCTTCAACTGAAATAATACACGAGCACACAAGAGATACAAACTTAAGGTAAACCACTCCAAACTCGATTGCAGAAAATACGACTTCAGCAACAGAGTGATCAATGCCTGGAATGCACTACCTGTTGTGGCCCCGCCCTCTGAGCCTATCCCATCGGAGGAAGAAAGCTCCGAGCATGAGGAAGAGGAGTCAGCCAGGCCTCCCTCTCCAGGCCCCTCCCCTCTGGCACTGTCTCAGGAGCCGGCTGAGGGAGAGGAGATTAGCCGGGAGACAGGTGTTTCGGATGAGAGTGAAGGAGAAACGTCATTCCTGGACGCACGCCACCGAAGGCGTGATAAACGATTGCAGCAGCTCAGGAGGCGTGCTAGGGATTAGAACTGAGTCACTGGACCACACCCCAGAGACTATATAATAGAGGGTGGTGGTCAGTGATCCCTGTGACGAACAAAAACAAACCCTAGATAGTCACTAAAGCCTCGTCCAAAGCTGCCGAGAGGAATATTGTTTCTGTTGGACTCTTGTACGTTGAGTATATTATCTTTCTGTTTCTGTGGCAATAAAAGCACTTGGCAGTTGGTGTGTATATCGCTGCCAAGTTGGAGATAAAGACCTGGGTGTGTGCCAAGTGCTTCCTTAACCCTCGGCTGGCTGTATTTGTGTGTGTGTGTGGACGGGGACAGATCACTACCTGACTCTGTGGTTTCATCCCCAAACCCCCATAATTTTAACCTTAGACTGTCTACTGTTGACCTCACCCCATTCCTAAGAGGTCTGTAAGGGGCGTGCATAAGCGCACCAACGTGCCTACCGTCCCTGTCCTAATGTTTCCTCTATTCGTGTCCTTATTCTGTATTCATAAACATGTTTATACTTATATCTTGTTATCTTACATTTTTGACAAACAAACAAACAAACCTAATCCTCAGCATTTTAAAGGAGTTCACCAACTCCAAAAGATTACCTAATAAGCTCTTTTCTTATTTGGTGGCATGGGAACGTACCAGAAATTTTGTATACACAAAGCATGCAATTTAGCAGTGAATTATTTTGGTTTTTTTAAAAAACCAATAAACTATGACTAACTGGGAATTGAGTTTAGGTTTGTGAATTCAGAGGAATCAAACCTGGAACCCCAGACATACAGCAACTCTTGGCGATATTGCTGAAACACAACTCTTGTGTTTTCTTGTTTTCTTAGGTCTTGGTTCACACTGAAAAACAGAGCTATTTGCAATAAAGAATGGACTAAAGTCTATTGAAGGGAGGCTTCCCCACTAAATGTGGCTGTGTGATATCCTGAGATCACAAGATAGTGTAGTTATTACAACATAGGAAACATACGTCAGTGACAGGAGTTGCTAATTCAACTTGAACTTCTGTGGAACTGGTGATGTCAGGGTTGCTGGTATCCAAGATCTCTACTGCTAGACCAAGAAGCAGACGGGCTCGGAAGGAGACCCCTTCACCCAGGCCTTCATTCAAGTCCTGATGCTCATCCATCAGTGTATAGTTGCGGGTGGACCCATACATGTTTACCCAGGCAGGACCAAATGTGGGCAAGAAACCTTTCAGAGATAAGCAGAATTGGATAAATGTTCATACCGAAACAGCTTTTAACAATTCAGTTGGTACATTTGCAACACATATTGCCATAATTGTTCTAATACTGGCATCAACAGAAGACACTAATGTCTAGTAGGTCTTCTAGTTATCTATCTTCCTCCATTATTGTTTCCTCTAGCCTTTGCTATCTTTTTTTCTTTAGGGTTTTAAAAGAGGAGTTGATCTTGGTAATTTCTGTTGCTGTTTGCTCAGACCTATCATTTACTATTTACTTAAGCCAAGTAGTTTCATTTCTTTTCCAGAAATGCTCAAGCAGGAAACTTGAGAAATGGTTTTCTAATCTCATCTTTAAAACCTCCAGTGTTTGTGAGCACCCACAATTTCTGGAGGCAAGCTGTTCCATTATTAATTGTTCTATTTCTCCTTAGTTCTAGGTTGCTTCTCTCCTTGATTAGTTTCCATCTATTGCTTCTTGTCCTGTCCTCAGGTGCTTTGGAGAATAGCTTGACTCCCTCTTCTTTGTGGCAGCCCCTGAGATATTGGAACACTGCTATCATGTCACCCCTAGTCCTTCTTTTCATTAAACCAAATATACTCAGTTCCTGCAACTGTTCTTCATTTGTTTTAGCCTCCAGTCTTCTAATCATTTTCTTGCCTCTTCTCTGCACTCTTTGTAGAATCTCAACATCTTTTTATATTGTGGCAACCAGAACTGGATGCAATATTCCAAGTGCGGTCTTGCCAAGGTATTATAAAGTAGTATGAACACTTCATGTGATCTTGTTGAAGGCAGTGCAGCTGGAGAAGGAAATGTTGTCAGAAGAGATATGTTGCCAGGATATTAGCATTGAGGGGTACAGAGTGAGGAAGCCGTGGTGACCAAACCCACTAAATCTTTTTAAAATGCATTCTATTATAAGATATTTATGAACTTTTGTTGTAAATAGAAAAATGTAACTAGATTTGGGGACAACTCACCAGAAAATGAAGAACAAAACCATTAAGCAGGCAAAAAATAGAGGTGTCTGAATTTCTGCATCCTCCTTACCTTTGTCTCCTTCATTGGAGATCTTCCTCAGATCAATGAAATGGGTTCCAATAGCCACATCGTTGACCTTGTCAGAATCTCGGATCTGGACCTTGATCCTTTTGCAGAGAGGGGGAAACATCTCTGCAAAAACTATCTGTTCATTCCAAACAGGTTCATAGCTGCTCTTCTGAACAGACGTTTTCCCCTGGGCCATGGACATAAGATTGAAAGGATTTCAGAACTTGATGGATTAAGGCATCCACATTCTTAACGTTCTCCTACTGCTGCTCTTTCAAGATTGGTATGAAGAGATTATGGCGTCTCTAAACAAGAAGGCTCTATATGATTATCATTACTATTCCTTTGGCAAATGAAGAGATGTGCATGTGTAGATTCCCTTGTATTCTTGTAATAGCATAGAAGGGAATTATTTCATATACTCAAATGCTGACAACTTATGTTGAGACTAAATTTAAATCTGCTTTCCACAACAGTGCCATTAGTTTGTTTCAGGCCAATTCACATAATACCTCAGCCTGCATGATCTCTGTTAAATATATCTGGAGTGCATCAGGTTGGGAAAGGCTGCTCTAGGGTACTCGGATTGAATGAAACTCCTGACTATGATTAGTTACATTCTGGTCCCTGCTAAAAATGCCAGTTCCTATGCTAGGATAACATAAACATATTTATTTATTTATCAAATTTATCTATTTTTATTTATTTATCAAATTTATGTAAAATAAACATGAATGGCTGTGAGACTTGATCCATCAAGATCTCACTGGATATCACATACCTTCTGTCCAGCAAAAAACACCTGGACGTAAGGATCCACCAGGTCTTTGTTTTCCCCAATGAGGGCTTTTTTCACATTGGCCATGATGCTAGTGTTCATGCGTGGAAGCCCCTCTGCCCGATAAATCTTAATATAGAAGCGAGCCCATTGCCTTTCTGAAGGAACTCCATCTGGAAGCAGTAGGTTCCTGCAAGACACAGTAAACCAGGGATGAATGAAGTCTACTAATCATATTCAAAGCAGTACTTCAGGAGGTCTAGTGGCTTTCTCCAGATGAAAACTATAATCTAGTTGAGAGTGTCATGAAAAGTGGATGTAAGCCAAGATGGGCAATCTGTATACCACAGAGCAAAAGTGTGCAAGAACAGGAGAGGTAACCCATGGTAACCCATCTTGCCTTAGTTCCTTCTTGATAGCCATGATACTGCCAAAATTGAGTTGCAAATTGTTGAAACAACATTAGCACAATTCTCTTTGATTATACTGCAGGAGCAGTTAGCCAAGTTTTTTAGCAGTTTTGCTGAAGATTTTTTAAATAAAATTAATCATTTAATAGTTCTTACTGTATAGATTGTCCTCGACTAACGACCACAATTGAGCCCCAAATTTCTGTTGCTAAGTGAGACAGGGATTAAGTGAATTTTGCCCCATTTTATGACCTTGCTTGCCGTTTTATGCCCTTTCTTTGTGTCTCTGATCACATGACCATGGGGATGCTACAAATGGTCGTAAGTGTGAAAAATGGTCATAAGTCAATTTTTTTCAGTGCCCTTTGAACGGTCACTAAATGAACTGTTGTAAGTCGGGTACTACTTGTATCTCTAAAATTTCAAAATTCCCCCTGAAACAAAAAAGAGAAATAAACAGTAAGCCCCACCTCACGTCTATTAATAATGTCATGTTATTTCCTTACTATTTTGTCATGGCTAAAATTTTAATAATGATGATGGTAGTCATTCTCAGCTATGAAAAGGATTTTCCCCCTGTGCTGGAGGGGAAAATTTTTTACATAGAAGACATGAAGGAATATTTCTTAAGTTGTTTCAACCTAGTTAGATTGCTGCTTTGTTTGCAATCTTGAGAGGTTTACTTTGCTGTTTTGGTCTGAAAAGGGCAGGTTCTCAAGGACTTAAAAGTGCTATTTTCATAGTACAGATTTTCCTAGGTCTTTTTTTTTTTTTTTTAATTTAAGGTTATTTGCAAAAATCTGTCCCACTATTTCACCAGCCTGATATAAATCATATAAACAGACAGAAAAATAAGTTTAAAAAAACATAAGTAAACTAATACAAAACTGCATAGCCAAGATATGATATTTGAGACAGAATGCAAAATCACATAAAATAAAGATACAAACATTACATAAGAAGGACGGCTTTCTTGGTCAAGAGCACCCTAGAAAAGATGAAGGCAATAGATCAGTGGGGGATGATTTTGAGGAGAGATAAGGTGAGCATTTTTCCTTCTCTTAAGTTCTCAAACAGCAAGCAGACGCAGAACCTATCCAAAGTTGCCCTGAAAGAAACCATGATTGTTTAACAACATGGGGTGAAACCAACCCTGCCCAGCATCTCCTACTTCTTACCCTTCAATATCATCCTCATCTGTCTCATTAGCTTTGTGTGGTGTCTTTATATTATCTCCTTTGCCCACCACTGCGATGTCAACCTTGACGTAGCCTTTCAGCCCAGCTGTGATGTCCTCTGGATCAGACAAGATGGCCCACTTGTGATAGAACTGATGCTCTGCAAGGAAAGGAGAAGAAAGAACGATGAATAAGCTATAGCCTTCTTGACAAGACTAACACCCCATTAAAACAACATTTGCTGCAAAAATGCATGTCTGAATAGAACTATAGAGGACAGCAGCATTTGCAGAATAACATTTTTTTAAAAAAAATCTAGTTTTATATTCCATCATATGAATGTGGTTTCCTCCAAAACTATTGACTAGTTAAATGTAATCTACTGTGTTTGGCTGAATGAACTAGAATAAACATTTAAAAAGTGGAAAGCAATGCTTCCGAGAGTCCCATGGCCATGCTGGAGGAGAAGGGAGGCCACAAGAATTACACTTTTGCTGTGGTCTCACAGCCAGCTGGGACATTGATGAAAGGCTACATTACAAGTGGATGGATCTAGTCATACTGTCAGCAGAAACTGGGATATTTAATAGCTCCTGGGAGTACAGACCTGGGGAACTGCATGGAAATGAGTTCTTGACAGGAAGTGCCTCCCAAGCAAAATTTCCAAGACCAGAAAAAGCAAGAGGCTTTCTCTTCCACAACTTTCTTCCACAAAATATTATTAATTTTGTATTACATACCTGGCTGGGTGTAGACGGTTCCCACATCCATTTTGAAAGAACCCACCAAGGTCCCACTGCGCAGGATGTTCTTGGAATGAATCACCTACAGGTTAACAAAACAGAGGTAATTTCAGGCCCAAAGAGGACCACGGGATTGCCAATAAACCTGCCTTGGAGTTAGAAACCACCTCCGGAATGCCTGTGGAACGAGTCCCCCAGGGAGATTTCTCTGCCTCCTCTTCAAGGCCCCCATCAGTGTAAAGCAAAGACCTTTTTTATTTTTCTGAGTGTCTGAGTATCTCTTAAATGGAATTTTTAAATATTTAACATACTCTAAAGAGAGAGAGAGAGAGTAAAGTGTCAGCCCTGAAACCATTTTGGAAATCTTCAGGGCTGCCACAGCAAGGGAGGTTGCAGCTGTGGGAACGTGAAGGGGGGAGATAGAGGTAGCTGGAATGGGGAAAAGTGTACCCAAAATAACATTCTTTCCCATGGGAGCCAAGGACGTCCCCACCAGGTGTTTGGAAGGCGTGGACCAAAGACAGCTGGAGGAGGACTGTGACCTGATTGGGCCGTGTGATGGAGGTGTGACCTGGGGGGGGCATGAACTTTGAGTTTTGATTTGGGTGGGGAAAACCTCAGGTCCTTCAGAGTCGGATTTTCACCAGCTGTGCCAAGATGGCATTCCTAATAAAATTTTACTTTGAGGAAACTCCAGGTCTCAGAATTTTGATTTTGTTGGGTCTGTTACTTGGAACCCTGACATAAAGTTTTAGTCACTATTTTATATAACAATAAAGTCATGTGGCTAAATAAGGTAACTGTGGTTGGGATTATATTCTCCCCCCCTAGTTTTTTCCTACTTTAATAGATTGAATATTGATTCTGTTCTGTTTTGTTCTGTTCTGTTCTGTTCTGTTCCGTTCCATTCCATTCTGTTCCATTCCTCTCCACTTTCCTCCACTCCACCTGTTCCATTCCATTCCACTCCACCCGTTCCATTCCATTCCATTCCATTCCACTCCACTCTATTTCCTTGTTTGAATATTTACGCTGCCCACTGCCAAGTGTTCAAAACATAACTAAGTAAATAAATGATATAAAATAAAGTATATGCATTTGCGAAACACTAAAATACAATCCTATTAATGTCAGTAAAGGATGTATTTCAGCAGGTGAAGTGGTAATGAGTCCAAAGCTGCATGTATTGCAGGCTACCAAAAAAGATAATTTCTCTAATTCTGTTAAATTATTCAAATTAAGCAAATGTTCATATTACTCTAAGGGCCACATTTCCCTCTAGTTGTTTATCCTTTATTCTCTTTTTGCTGCTCTCAGGAGAGGAGCAAAGATGCTGCAGCTACACATATCTTACTGAAAAGATTTGTCATTTGAGGGCAATAATTTCAGGTTACTAGTTCTACTAAATTTTCAAGACAGCTGTGCTGTAAAAAATGTGATTCTAAATAAATAACACCTTCAGCCATTCTACCAGGAGTGTCTACAGACTGTCTGTGTCAAAAAAAGTCAAGATGGCGGCCACAATCATACAACTGAAGCCCTGCTTCTTCTGATAGGTAAACATTAATGTAAATTGAAAGGCAATAAAAATAAGAGGCAATGGCAAACTATTGGTACCCACAAAGTGAGACGAATAGCAATAGCATTTAGACTTATATACTGCTCCACAGTGCTTTACAGCATTTTCTGAGTGGTTTATAGAGTCAACATATTGCCCCCAACAGTCTGGGTCCTCATTTTACTGACTTCAGAAAGATAGAAGGCTGAGTCAACCTTGAACTGGTGAGGATCAAATTCCTGGCAGTCGGCAGAGTTAGCCTGCAATACTGCATTCTCACCACTGCACTGCCAGGGCTCAATATGAAGTCATCAGGCTACAAGCTCAGCTCAAATGAGAGGTACCTTCCCCGTTATTTATCCATATCTACTCTAGCTGCATCTCTGGATGTCATCTTTCCAAGTGAGAATACTTTCTTCTTCAGTCATGCTTCAGAGATTATTCCAACTGAGAGGTAAACAGTGCTCACCGATAATTTGACGATTTTATCAAACATGACATCCGGGGGAATGTGAAAGTCAAAGACAAAATACTGAAATAGAAAAAAAGAAGAGAGAGAGAGAGACAATTAATTAAAAGGGTCACCAAGGACCTTTATAGTAAAAAGATCAGTAATAAAGAATCAAATGAAAATAGTAAGCCATTTTGTTCTCTCCAGATAGATTTCATTACAGTTTTATTGTTTAAAAAAATATGGACACTGGATATTTAGTCTGGCTTTTAGGCAGACTAGAAGCAGTAGTAGAACAAATCTAGGGATGGGATGCTAATTTGTGAAAGACATAAACATTCCCTATGTCAAGGCAGCCTCAGGATTTTTCCTCACAAAATGTCTCTCATGATTCTCAGTCCTCCAGGTCATAGTTGTCTCAAAGGTAGTTTTTCAAAGGGCAGCTGGACTGTTTTTTTCCCCCAACAGAACCTATCCTTCCATCCACCCACCATCCAGTCTCAACAGTCAGTACCTATCCTTCTATCTCCCTGCTATCAGAACTGATGAAGCCTTTTGGATGAGAAGTGAAATGTTTACTTCTTCTTCCTCAAAAAACAATCCAGTTGCCTTTTGAAAAACCACCTTTGAAACTGGGGAAAAATGGTAAGGCTAAATAAATGTTTGTGGTACTTCTAAGCAATGAAAAAGCATGTTAATCATAACCCGAGAATCAAAATTAAATGAAAACAATTTTACCGTTTGGCTAATGGAATTATAATATTTTATTTTGCGAATTGTAACCCCTAAAACTATTATTATACTAGAAATCCAAACATTTCTCAGCTGATGGGTCCATTCAAAATTTTGTAAGCATGCCATGGGCATAAATGATTGGTTTAAGGGAATATAATCACTTACCAGAGGGAAAACTAACGAGTTTCTCCCAAATTTGCTATCACAACATTTCCTCTAGGCAGATGAGCTTATTTCCAGATTGTTGCAGTCCAATCCCCAAGAATGCTTAGAGGGATGTGCCTTTGGGCATACTGAGCCCACAGATTATGTTGGAAACCCCAGTGCCATATAGTTCTCACATTTTGAAATGAAAATGGCTAATGTAGATAAAAAGGTAGCATCCCTGAGGGTGGATGAAGACAAAAATCCAGCACTGGCCTAATCTGCCACTTGTAATAAGCAGAAGCTATAGCCTTGATCACATGATCTACACATTTAGCTATTATCATATCCAGTGGCCCTACTCTCCCTTCTCACCAATCAATTTGTTGACCTAAAGTCATAAAGACTGGTGGTCTTCTGGGTGTGATTCAAGGTGTTAGTTATCACCTTTAAAGCGCTCCATGGCTTAGGACCTGGGTACCTACGAGACCGTCTTTTGCCACCAATAGCCTCCCACCGACCAGTTCGTTCTCACAGGGAGGGACTACTCAGGGTACCATCAGTCAAATTATGCCGACTGGTGACTCCCAGGGGGAGGGCCTTCTCTGTGAGGGCTCCAACCCTTTGGAATGAACTGCCCCCTGAGATACGAAATATCCCTGATCTCCGTGCTTTCCGCCGTGCCCTCAAAACCCTGATGTTCCAACAAGCGGGGCTAAACATATGAACATGTGAATGTTTTTAAAATGTTATCTAATTTTAGGTTCTATTTAATTGGGCCAAACTATGTTATAATAATAATTTTAATTAGCAATTTTATGATGTTTGTGTATCTATATTTTTCTTGACTGTACACCGCCTTGAGTCCTACGGGAGAAAGGCGGTATAGAAATATAATAAACAAACAAACAAACAAACAAACAAACAAACACACTTATATTGGGATTTTTTTCCAAGTACTGACTAAGATGCTTCAATTCACTTCTTTCCAGTTTTCTGTGGTCTTGGTGTTAGTTTTCCCTGCCTATAAAGATAGGCAACCCTTCAGCACTCCTGCAAAAATCAGTTTCCAAGCCTCACTGATAGCTAAGAGGAACCTCTTTTCCCGTATTCGTTGGGTTTTTCCTTTAATTTAAATATCCATCAAGAAGGAAATGACAGGTCAGTTGTTAGAGGTAGCAAGCTAACCTCATTATAGTAGGGGCAATTAGTTGATTCCTTCATGGAGGTGTACTTCTTCTCATCTCCCACCTCCACACACACTACAGGATCCATGTTGAGCCCCACCAGCTGCCGTGCTTCAATTACTGTGATGTTGACCTGGTGAGAGAAAAAAAGAAACACATTGCTAGATTCATTCCCAAGGATCCATCATCTTCCTTCTAATTTCTTTCTACTCATTTTCTTCCTAAAAGGAGCTGCATGCTACCTGTGGGTGCTTTGCAAAAAAACAGAAAGGCTTGTCAATCTGCAGCATCTTGAAACCTTTAGAAGTTGCAGGTGCTTCATCACTGGAGGTTTTTAAGAAAAGACTGGACACACACCTGTCTGAAATGATATAGGGTCTCCTTCTTGAGCAGGGGTTGGACTAGAACAGGGGTTACCAACTTTGTGGACCTCAGGGACCACTAAATTCATAATTTTAAATCCCACGGATGATCTGCCTAATGGCCGGCTGGGTGGGCGTGGTAGGTGGTCATGTGACTGCGTGGGCATGGCCAACTCGATGTCACTTGCGTCAAGGGGTGCCTTGCTGGCCTCTACTTGCCCCTTCCCTCCTCACCTGCCTGCCCAGGCTTCTTAGGGTCCCAACAGGAAGCAGTTGTTGGAGCTAAGCAGCCACCACAAGAAAGAGTTGGCAAAACAGCTGGCTCAGTTCAAATTGGATCTGGCCAAGAAGGAGGCTCAGCAGAAGCACCTCACTCAGGACTACGAACATAGGCTTTCCAAGCAGAGGGAAGACCTGCGGGAGTGCAAGGCCAGGTACCGGCACCTGGAGGCTCAGCGGGCTGAGATGGTCAGCCAGTTCCAGGCCATGAGGCAGTCCCACTGGAACAAGGCCCTCCGGCTCTTTGCCACCAGAAGTGCTTCCCTCCAGCCTTCACCCAAAGCCCTGCACCAGGAGGCTGAAGCAGACCCCAAGTTGGAATTTCTGCCCCCCTCCAACCCACACAAAAAGACCCCAAAGGGGGAGACTCTTTGCAGCACCACAAACCTTCATTGCATGTATCGGGCCCAAGGGCCATAGTTTGAGGACCCCCGATTTAGTGCAGTATAAGAAATGCAAATAATTTTTCTTGTGGACCACCAGTGATCCAAGGACCACCAGTTGGTGACCACTGGACTAGAAGACCTCCAAGGTCCCTTTCAGCTCTATTCTGTTATTAAATGTCAATTAGCAGCAGAATGGAGAATATCGCTGCTTCACATAATATAATAAGAGTTGCGGTGGTTAGAGTACTGCAGGCTACTTCTGCTGATCACCGGCTGCCTGCAGTTTGGCAGTTCGACTCTCACCAGCTCAAAGTTGACACAGCCTTCCATTCTTCCGAGGTCGGTAAAATGAGGACCCAGATTGTTGGGGGCAATAGGCTGACTCTGTAAACCGCTTAGAGAGGGCTGTAAAGCACTGTGAAGCGGTATATAAGTCTAAGTGCTATTGCTATTGCTATATACTATGTTAACCTAAATACTAAATACTATTTATTATACCCTCATACTATGTTAAATTGGTTGGCGAGTTTATGCTTCAGAATATTGTGTGAACCAAAGCAATTGCATTGATTCAATCAAGTACGGTTCTACTAAGCATGGCTTAAGCATGCTGCAATAGCACAACTTGCTTCTGAGTTGTACTAATTGCACTAATATCACTTTCCCCCATCTGATGTGCCTTCAACAATTCCTGCTTTGGGACATGTAAGATGCCATGAAAAGTACCAATTTGTGAAAGGTGGCAATAAGGGCAGTGGTGAAATCCAAATTTTTTTACTACTGGTTCTGTGGGCATGGCTTGGTGGGTATGGTGTGGCTTGGTGGGCGTGGCTTGGTGGGTGTGGCAGGGAAAGGATACTGCAAAATCGCCACTCCCACCCCACTCCAGGGGAAGGATACTGCAAAATCTCCATTCCCACCCCACTCTGGGGCCAGCCAGAGGTGGTATTTGCCAGTTCTCCGAACTGCTCAAAATTTCCACTATCAGTTCTCCAGAACCTGTCAGAACCTGCTGGATTTCACCTCTGAATAAGGGTGAATAGCTATTCATGATGATGGTTAATTGGAGAAGGATTGTGTTGGTGGAGACTTTGGACTCCCATATTACTCCCATAGCACAAATGAGAGACTGGAACCATCTCACCTGGTAGTCCATTGGTCTTCCAGCACTGGGCTCCATTTTAATATCTGGCTTGGATCTTAAAAAGACCATGATAACAGTGAAAGATAATAATAACAATGACATAATAAATAACAATATAATATTTAGCCCCTTGTATATATTTTATATAATGTGTGGTTGGCTTCATTGTGGGTTAGCACAACATATAAATCTATCTATCGCGACATGCAAATGGTGGCTTATAGTTTAGCATTATGAATAAACCAGGCCAAAATCCTAACACCATCCAGAAGGAGTAATAAATTTGATGAGTCACTTTGAACTTTAAGCAAAAGGTTATAAAATGTAGTTATTTGTTAATAAAGGCAGAATAGAAATAAATAAAATGTTTTAATAGGTTAATATTTCGCCTCTAATATTAAGTGCCACATTTCTCATTTTTTTCTCACACCTTTTTTACATCCTGGCATATGTAGATCTGATCTCCACTTTCTGAGTTGTCTTGTACTCACCTCTTATTAGACACATTGGTGGTCACAGCTGTGACTGATGCCAGGGAGATGGTATCTGGATCCAGGCCACCTCCAAGCCGTATTGCTTTACGGTCCAGATCTTCTGCTTCCAAGATAGCTGGTTGATCTGTCCAGAAAAGACAAGTCACAGTTAAAACATTTGATGGACTATCACAAAACTTTAACAATGGGCATCTTTCAAGAAGGGTGAGAGAAACCTGAAAAAGTATGGTGAGCTGTGATCCATCAGTCATGATATAATTTAGAACTGGAACTATTAAAAGTGCCTGGATGAGCATTCTCCAAACTGGATCTTCCAGATAGGTGAATCTCGGCTCTCAGAATTCACCAGCTAGCAAGGCAACAGGTGAAAATTCATACTTCTAGAGGATTCCAAGTTAGGCTGAATTGATCTAGATTGTTTTGTTTAAAAGCTATTTATACCACATTCTCAGAGAAGTGTAGAGGCAAGATATGCAATCATGAATGACAGTTTTGATACATACATGGAAGAGACGAAAGGTACATGCGTCTCGGCCAGGCAACTGACCTCCTCAGTAGAAATCCAATACTATGGAACACTCTTTGCTGGAAGAACAGATGGTCCCTATCCTATTGGCATTCTTTGAACTAACCAAAGCAGTGTTTTGACTCTTGGGACAGTTTAAAATATTGAGCACCTATAAAGTTTTTGATTGTTTACTGGAGAGTTTGATAATGAAATGTTGCATTTTTTCTTGTTTATATAGGATTTCATTGTCCCCTGTGCAAAGTCCCTTTTGGTTGGAACAGGCTGTATACATATTGTAAATCACTCACTCACTCACTCACTCACTCACTCACTCACTCACTCAATCTGTAAACAAGTAAATATAGGAAATTGGCTTTCCTAAAATGAAATGAGCACAGAGTTATTTGAATTCAAAGGAGTACCCATCTCTTGCATCTAGTCTGAAACTGCAAATTTGCAATCTCAGGGTATAACAAGATTGTAGTAGTTCACTGGTTTGATTGAAGTTTAGATAGTGAGCACATGCACACCTTGCTTTCGGTGATGATCATCTTTTGAGGGACGTGTTTTGCCCAACTTCATGGCTGAAAAGACTCCTCTACCAGCTCTGCAAGCAAAGTAGACACATTATGAACATCATTATGTCATCTCAGAACATAAGCCAAAAAGGGAGATCCCTTCTCCAAGAAGCAGTTGAGAGACAAACTGAGGAGAAAGACAAATCAAGGAAATAGTAAGGGAAAGGAAATGAGAAAAATATTACTCCTGCTTAGAATTTGTTGTAGTTTGGGATAAACCACTGAAAAGTTGTCTCAAGAAAATATAAACATATTTGATTCTCATTGAGAAGTTTTCATCCAACTAGTTTTACAAGACACACAATGGCTGTTCTCCAAACATGAAATATATTTATTGGAACTAGTAGGTATTTTACACATATGCCATGTCCATACCCACAGCTTCAAATGGACTGCCATTATTCAAATTGTATTGGCATGAATGTTTCTGCCCTTTAGCCATTGTGGAATCCTTGGTGTTCTCTGAGCTAGGTTTTTTGTGTGTAGATGTTACGCAAGTAGGTAATATCTTCCGTGATAGTGAGTGTGAGGATTGCTCCCTGTAATTTGCCCTGCCTGTGTTGGTGGGGGTGTGGTTTTCTCCTTGTTAGTTAACTACATAAACAAGAAGCAAACCCCATTCACAATGGCATTGATGATGTCACCTAGCTGAGTAATGAATGTCTACAAACAAACAAACAAGCTCCAAGGGCACCAAGGACTCCACTGGATTCAAACTTATTTAAGGATGAGATTTTAAGGCAAGAGATACTTAATTTTTTCTTTAAAATCTTCCAACTCCAAAAATGCCAAAAAAAAAAAAAAAAAACCCACCCCAAAACAAAACTGGGAGTAGATTTTTTTTAGCCTCATTAATACTGGGGATGGAAAACAGGGCTAATGCTTTTGGAAAACTGACAATTTTGGTTGTCAGCAAATTTGGAAAGCTGTGCAATTGGCTGGAAGAAGGAAGGGAGGGAGGGAGAGAGGGAGGGAGGGAGGGAGGGAGGAAGGAAGGAAGGAAGGAAGGAAGGAAGGAAGGAAGGAAGGAAGGAAGGAAGGAAGGAAGACATTATTATTTTAAATCAAGCTTCCTCAATCTGCTGCCTTCTATGTTGGCCATAGCATACATAATCCATGGTAATTTTGCTGTGAAAGAAAGTGAACATGAAATAATGATTTTAAATTACAAGGATGTAGATTTTTGGTTGGACATCCGGAAAAAAAATCTTAACAGTAAAAAATGGTTTAACTGTGGAACAAACTAAACTGCCTTGGAAAGAAATATATTCCCCTTCGCTACATTGTTCAGACAGAAGCTGAATCTGTTGAGGATGCTATAATAGTAAATTGTGGCATTATGCAATAGATTCGACTAATTGATTTCCTAGGCTCTTCCTTTCCTTACCTTGCAAGATTCTATGAAAAGAAACTCCTGTTTATTCCAAGGATTGGCAGGCTGCAGGTGCATGTAACTCCTTCTTTCCATTTCTTTGATTGTTATTTTAATTGTTATTGTCGCAACATGACCATGCACCAAAAAGAGCTCATTTCTGAAGGTAATTAAACAATTCACTTGACAAAGCCTTTGGGTAGGTTTAATCCTCCTTAAATGTCACAAAAACTAAACAAACGAAACAGATACCCAAATGCCAACGAAATAAATTACACACACCAATGAACCTGTTCTATTTGTCCTTAAGTCACCATTCTGTGTATTATATTCCTTGGCTACCCAAAATAATGCCAAATGCATTATTTGTTATGCAATGGAGTCCATATACATGTCATTTTACAACTGACAAAGAGGGCCAGGGTCTCCCCAGAAGACTTTAGACTCTGAAAGGCGGAGTACTAAAGAAAAGAGGGGAGAGAAAAGCAAGGGCACTAAGAAATGTGAAAACAAAATGAATTCCTGATGTTTAGACTTGGATCTTCTCATAGCTTCATGTTTGGAAGAAAACCTAGTTAACCTAATGGGCCTTTCACAAGGAAATGTACCATCTGGAATTAAACCAAAGGTTACGTAGAAAAAAAAAATGACATCAAGTATGTCTTCTAAAACTTAACATAAGGGATAACCGGGAAGATATGACTGGTTTTCAGGGATTCTATTACTGTAGTATATATTTAGCAATTTTCAAGAGCTTTCCTAAGGCAGCCAGCTGGTGCACAATGAAATGCTAATTAATTAATTAATTAATTATTAACATTCCTTTGAAACCTGAGAACATGGAAGGGGACCATCTGCCTGAATGCAATGGAAGTGATGGGTTGGGGATGCCGTTGGGTGAGCAGCAAAGAAATGGAAGGATGGGAAGGTACAATGGGATTCCAGAGGCAAAGCAGTTAGTGGAAGGCAGATTGTCATCTGAGTCAGGCATTTTGAATCTCAAGTTATCGGACAACATTTATTAAAAGCAATAGCGAAACTCCTCTCTTACATATATACACACTGGAAAGATCTTCTTATTCAATTCCCACGAGCTAATGGAGAAGGTGATAGCTAACAGACAGACTATAATTACAGTCTGCTCCTGTAACAGTTACGAACTAAACTCGGAAAACTCCTATATTACAGTGGTCCTTATTAAGACCATGTTCAAAGATTTGTTTGACATTATCTGTTTGTTCGACGTTGTTTGACAAAGACATTATCTTCTACACACAGGGAGAATGAAAAAGGAGGGCAAAACAGCCACTCTGTGCATCAAAGGGTGTACCAGCCAAATGCCCATCAGAGTCCATTTTTTCAGAGTGATGGGCTTTACTGAAGATAAAATATATATCTAGCATCATAGATTTCGGAATAGCATGTAACATTATTTGGAACAGCAGGATCAGCTAAGCACTGTGAAGGAGTTCATTCTCTTTAAATAGTGCTTTGGTGATACTCTTTGTATCCCCCGTTTTTAAAAATATAAAATGTATTTCCCCCATGTAAGTATGCTTGCTCATGATCTTGTTCTAGGGTGACATCTCAATTGTGCCAATAGATACTCTCCAACTCACTCATAGCAAAAACACTCCTAAAAACCTTTCAGAGATTAAGAAATCAAAGCAACTACTTACCTGTTCCAGGTAAGGTAGAATCAGACTTCTTTACTTGTATCACACAATTACAATCACAAAAAGAGGGGGGAGGGTAGTTTGAAAGGGGCAGGAAGTTACTGAGATGGGGAAAAAAGTTCCTGGTCCATTTCCTGCTCCTACACCATTTTGGGACGATTGCGTCATTAAACTCAGGCCCAGTTGCCCTCCATTTTTGGACACCACCAAAAAAGAACAGCACGGAGGGGAAGGAATGGCGTAGTTAGGAAGCCAGCTGTGTTAGCAGAGAATTGATACCATCCCCTTCATGAATATTGCATGATAACACCTGAGACAGCTTGGCAAAGGCTGAATAGCAGCCATTCCAGATTCTCAGCAGCAGTTTTTTTCTCCTCACAGGGCCCAAAATCATGGCCTTAGAAGAGGTTTCCATGATTTAGTAACTTAGTTTGGAAGCCATTGCTTCCAAACTAAGTTAAGGTCTCTGGATTGTTATCAGTTTGCTCCATTATTCCTAAATAGATGTTCGGAATGTACATGCTAATTTTTTGTAAAAAATCTAATCTGAGCTCAGGATTCATGCTTGGTGAAAAAAGAGCCACAAGGCTGCCAACTGTGGCATCTTCCCTAATTCCATATGAATTCCAAGCATGGGTCTGATTATGGCTTGGAAATGAATTATTCACAGTTAAATCTGCCTTTCTAACGTCAAGAAACGTTTTGAAGTGAAGAAATTATCCTATAAAGGTCATCTATCTTGTGGTCAGAGATGAAGGAGAGATTAAAAATTAGGGCTGGTTCATAGGTTTCTAAGCTAACCCATCTGCATCTGGGTAGCTTGTGAATCAGCTGCTACTTGGGGTGGAACAAAATCCTCAAATTCAGTGAAGATTAAGGTGGTTGGAAAAAACTTGTTCTTGGAAAGCCATTGCCAGTTAGAATGAACAGTGCAAGGTTATATGGAAAAATATTTGATCTTGAACCTTCTTTGGATGTAGAATGATTGCCTTATGGCGGCCTTGAGCAGTGGTGAAATTCAATTATTTTTTACTACCAGTTCTGTGGGCGTGGCTTGGTGAGCATGGCAGGGGAAGAATACTGCAAAATCCCCATTCCCTCCCCACTCCTGGGGGAAGGGTATTGCAAAATATCCATTCCCACTCCACTCTGGGGCCAGCCAGAGGTGGTATTTACTGGTTCTCTGAACTACTCAAAATTTCCGCTACCGGTTCTCCAGAACCTGTCAGAGCCTGTTGGATTTCACCCCTGACCTTGGGAATAGAAAATGTTTACAAACTGTAGTCTATCCATATTAAACTTAAAGACACAGAGGCCCCTTCCCTTGTATACATGGGGATTTTCTCTGGGGAAAAATACTTGGGAAATACCAGACCAAGAGTTACCTTTTTCATCTCTTGCCAAGACGTAGAAAGGACCGGTCAAAAAGGAGCCCTGGTGGCACAATAAGAATTGCAGCATTGCAGGCAAATTCTACCCAAAGCCTGGAGTTCGTTCCTGACTGGCTCAAGGTTGACTCAGCCTTACATCCTTCCAAGGTTAGTAAAATGAGAACCCAGATTGTTGGGGGCAATATGCTGACATTAGTCAAATGCTCAGAGAGTGTTGTAAAGCATTATGGGGCAGTATATGAGTCTAGGTGCTATGTTATTGCTATAATCACATTGACCAGCTAGGTCAAATTTTAGTAAAAGAGTCATTTGATCTAGTGTGATATTACTGGGAATAGAAAGGCATTTGGAAGGATCGGGTATTCAACCAGTCCATCAACTGAAACTACTGCTACTGTATTGTGCAAAGTTGGAAAAAAAATCCCCACTATCCATTTGTTATGAAATGTACCCATATATAAATTAGATAGGTAAGTAGATAGGTAGTAATGTAGGCAGGCAGACAGACAGCTAGAGGTAATTGATAGGTTGAATAGAGAATCAGATAAAGATAATTTTGACAATTGGAACAAATTAAAGCAAACATCAGA